TTTTTTTTGTTCATTTGAACTATTTTTTTGCCCATTTAAACTATTTTTTTGTTCATTTGAACTATTTTTTTGCTCATTTGAACTATTTTTTTGTCCATTTGAACTATTCTTTTTTTCATTTGAACTATTTTTATGTTCATTTGAACTATTTTTGGTTTATTTCATTAATAATATTTTAATAGTTCAAATGAGCAATATATTTACTCGTTTGAACTATTGTTCATTTCAACTACTCACGTGGTCCCACGTGCAGTAGTTGAAATGAACAATAGTTCAAATGAGCCATAGTTCAAACGGCAGTAGTTCAAATGAAATAGCACCATCCCTACATATACCTTCCGAACCATCCTATTCGATTCTACGTATACCAGTCATACCATTCAATTCCCATTCGATCCTTTATTTACCATCCATACCATTATTTTCTTCACTTTTTATACCTGGCTAATTTGGTTAATGCGTATTCTTTAATTAAAATGGACGGTCAATGTTTTCAAAGTGTTGAAGAAAAGTTACACATGCCCAAATAGACTATCAGATACAATAGGTGGCAACAGAGAAATGGATCAATTATTCACGACGTCACAAGTGTCAAATATAACAAGAAACCAAATTTTCTCACATTAGTTGACATGTTTTCCAAAATTTAATAAAAAAGTGTAAAAACAGAAAGTAAAAACATGTAAAATTGCACATATTTTACTGTAAGATAAGCACTTCATTCTAAAATTATCACTATTATAAATAATTTTGTCGCGGACTCTTGTCACGTAAGAATACAGCTGTACTGAAAGTGTACAAATTCTACGTTGCCATCTATTGCACTATAATAGAATCTATTTGCACATGCCCGATTTACAACGTTACCCTTTCAACCTTTATCTTGATAAGATTTAGGTGTCGTTTTCTATCTTAAAAACGATAAAATCTGCTAATTTCCTTCTTTGGTCCTTTTTCATAAATCACGGTTATAAAGTGAAACCTCTATTGAAAAATATCAAATTTAACTAATATAGAAGATAGTTTTGTTCTCCCGACACATTTCCTGGAATTCGACATTTCGATTTCTCTCTATTAGAACTTTTGAATTCCAACAAAATATTCACCATCTAATTTAGACGTAAGGATTATGGGCCATGGTAAAATTTATAAGGAATTACTGTTACGCCATTGTAAACCTAGTAATTTTTCTTTGATTTGCACTGAAGTGTGAAAATTGCATATTTGATAGCTTTGTCAACATAAGCTCTTCAAGTATTTGTATTTGAAAAAATGCATGATTTCAAGCTAAAACAAAATAAACGTTAGTTCGATGTGCCCCCCATCCTCCTTCTTGATTTCACACTCCACACCTTTCCTCGTTACGAGTGCATATCAAGGAAACCGTATCGAAGCCTATCTAAGCCTAAATGATGATTCTATGCAGGTTCTGCAATCAGGCCTATACTTGGAGACACTCTAGGCCAAAAAAATTAGGCATACACTTACAGCTTTAGACAATAGACACTTACAGACACACAAAGGGGACAGCAAATTCTAATTGAAATGTAGATCAAGGTTTTTTTTTAGCTTTATCTTAAAGTTGTTAAACGCAAGATATTTTTTTCTTTTTATATGGGCTTTCAACGTAATTCCAAGTGACCTTACAGTACTTACANCCCCGTTTCTGAAAAAAATAATAGAGATAAACTTTTTTTTTCTTCTGAAAATTGGAATCTTTGACATTGTAATTGAGGTGTAGCTCTTTCAAAATACTTTGTGAACTTTGAGAAAATAAGACACTCTGACAAACGTTATCGCTTTTTCAAACTACAAAAATTACAATATTTGTTTTCCTTGTTAGTTAGTGAAAGGTTAATAATGAAAATTGGAACGGAGCGGAGTGTCACCACAAATTATGTCGATATTCAACTCCGAGAAGATATTTTTTGTGAATTTTAACTTTCAAAGGATATAAAAATATTTGGATAAAAGAATCAAAATAATTCCCTCAATCCAACACGCTTCAATGTTTGAAAATATATCAAATTTAAAATAAACCATTTTTATAAAATATTTTATCTAGGTTGGAGCTCTAGTTGACTCTGTAGCTCCTGGACTGTGTCCTGACTGGGAGGATTGGGATCCTAATGAACCCGTCAGGTGAGAGCAACAAAATTGTGGGTTCTCAAACAAAAGAACTTGCGTATTTCTATACTGCAGGAAAACATATAGAATTAACAGAATTAAACTATTTTAAACCTAGAAAAACGACAATATCTTCTCTCTTTATTGATTATAAAGGTTTCAAATGTACCTTTTTAAATCGGACATTGCTATCTTTGCATGGGGATTCATTTGAAATTACGCTCACAGTCCCTTTCAGGAAGCATAAAAGTCTCAGATTCTCGTCATAAAGGATCCATTTTTGTGAATTGATTAAAAGAATTGCAATAGAAATTGCAATTAATAATGCTCAATTACCATGCATTAAAGTCTCAGATTCTCGTCATAAAGGATCCATTTTGTGAATTGATTAGAAGAATTGCAATAGAAATTGCAATTAATAATGCTCAATTACCATGCATTAAAGTGATTGCCAAAAAAATTCAAAACATTTTTAAAAATTAAAAAATATTATATGTAATTTATATTTACTTAGCTTTGGCGCCGATATAGTTAACTTAAATGACGTGTGCGCTCATTAATATTGTTCTGAGGAAAATGGGAGGGTTAGGGGGGGGGAGGGGCTAGTAAAGACTTGGGAATACAGGCTAAACCATTCATACCTACTACTCAGCCTTTGATCATGAGTTTAAAAGAAAAGCTAAAATGACAGAGAAGAATAGAAGTGTACTTAAGTTAAGTTTTAGTGTTTACCAACAAACAGAATCTGACATATTTGTGCCAAGTCATTAAGTTTTCAACTGAAATTATAAACTGTGGCGCAGTAATATTGGATACCACCTGAATTGCCCGGCGTTGCCCGTGAGATAAAAAATTCAGTTATTGAAGAAAAAAATTTGTAATTTTTCGCCTATGTTACCCCNTCACTTTGGTTCAGCCGTTTGGCCAGGTATAGCTAACATATATCCAATCATACAAATATATATATATATGAGCGAAGATCTTTATTACATAAATACAAATTTGCGGTTTTAAACAATGTATTAGGTTGATAGACAAGCTATTAGGCGAATAGACAAGCTATAAGGCGGCTAGACAAACTATTTGGTAGATAGACAAGCTATTAGGCATATAGACTTATTCTAAGGTGAATAGAGAAGTTATTAGACGGATAAACATATTATTATCCAAATAGACAAGCTATATAAGGCGGTTTGACATGATATTTGATAAATAAACTAGCTATCAGGAGGATTGACAAGCCATTAGGCAAATAGACAAGCTAATGGGTAAATAGACAAATTTTTTAAGGTGAATAGAGAAGCTATTAGGACGGATAAACAAATTATTATAAAAAAGACAAGCTTTGAGGCGGTTTGACATGATATTTGATGAATAAACAAGCTATCATCAGGAGGATTGACAAGCTATTAGGCGAATAGACAAGCTAATAGGTAAATAGACAAATTTTAAGGTGAATAGAGAAGCTATTAGGACGGATAAACAAATTATTATAAAAAAGACAAGCTTTGAGGCGGTTTGACATGATATTTGATGAATAAATAAGCTATCAGGAGGATTGACAAGCTATCAGGCAAAAAGACAAATTCTAAGGTTGATAGAGAAGCTATTAGACCGATAGATAAACTATTAGGCGAATAGCCAAGCTATAAGGTGGATAGACAAGCTATTAGACGGATGTAAAACTATTAGACGGATTAACAAGCTAAAAGGCGGAATGGCATGCTATTTGGCAAATAAACAAACTTTTATGATAAATGACAAGCTATTAGGCGAATAGAGATTCTATTGGGTGGATAGGCATGTTATTAAGAGGATAGACAAGTTATAAGGCGGATAAAAAACTATTAAGCGAACAGACTTTGCAAAGGAACAGAAATAAGACGGAGTGACAAGCTCGGGCGGATGAACAAGATACATGGGGCGTATGCTAGTTCTGTGAGGCGGAGAGATATGCAATGCAACGAATGGGTTTAAGGAGAAACTGTAGAGCTTCAATACAACCAAAATACCTGCCAAGGATGTTAAATATGTAATGTTTGATTTCCTCGTCCTGGTTTAGTTTCAACTATCTCCGAGTATATATACATAACATCTCAAGGTTATATCAGGGGTTAAATGATAAACCCCCAACTCTCACATCCCTTCATTCCTCTTCTATATCTATCTATCTTTCTTTCTATCTGTTGAATATTCTAAATCATCATTATTTCTTTTAGTCTTTTCTTTTTAATTTCCATATAAAATAGTAAACATACATTGACTTTCGTCTCTTGTAGTTCCTTCCCTGTTGGTTTTATCTTGTCTATACAGTCCCTTCTCCCCTCTCCTTCCCCAGTTTCCCCTTCTTCCCTTCTCCTCCTGCAGTCTCCCACGTAAAGCCTTTAGGCATTTTCAAATCCTCAAATTCAATTCTCTGAACTCCCAGTAAATTTCTTCAATTATACATTCTCCCCCTCCCCTTCCTTCCCCGGTCTTTTGTGTTTGTTTTTCGCAATCCCCCCCCCCTTCCCTTCTGCAGACTTAATAGCCATACCAGCCCCCCCTTTCTCCCCTTTTTTTGGTACAATTCAACCCTTCAACTTTATTCTTCTACTTAACACCCCCGGCCCCTTCTCCCCCCCCAGCCCTTGTTCACTGTTTCGAAGCAAGTTTATTGCAAAGTATAGTTTGAGCTAGGCTGAGCTCTTGGAAACGGTTTTGCGAATATTTTAACGGTCAAACACGTGCACACTGCACATTGCCAGATTTTCTGCAAAATTAAGAAAAATTAAAACTTACTTTTGCTTTGCGCTTCGTTTTTCCTTCGACACAAAAATCTTATATTCCTATCCCTATATATCTTTGCAACCTGATTTTTTATTTTGATTTCAAACGTTAACTACAGAATTAATAGTTTAAATCGAAATCAGTAAAAAATCGTTTTTTTATTTTTGACCTGCAGAGAAAACAATAAAATTATTTAAAGCATTTATTTTCACACCTGATCATGAATTTTCTCAAGCAGATACGAATTTATAAAAAAAAGTTTGTATTAGAAATAATAAAAGCATTAATTTAAGAGAGAATGGAAGGGAAGGGATTGGAAGGGAAGGGATNAAAGGAAAGGAAAGGAAAGGAAAGGAAAGGAAAGGAAAGGAAAGGAAAGGAAAGGAAAGGAAAGGAAAGGAAAGGAAAGGAAAGGAAAGGAAAGGAAAGGAAAGGAAAGGAAAGGAAAGGAAAGGAAAGGAAAGGAAAGGAAAGGAAAGGAAAGGAAAGGAAAGGAAAGGAAAGGAAAGGAAAGGAAAGGAAAGGAAAGGAAAGGGAAGGGAAGATATTTGTACATTGCATAATGCATGGCATATATGCACTAGGAAGATAGATTTTATATCATATCAGAAATAGTCATATTTATTCATAAATATATGCAATGCATAATGCTCGTGAATGTATTTAAATTAGTTTTCGCAATCCATGTTTATTTAAATAGTTTTCATGTACATAATACTCGTTTAATAAAAACATCAGTAGAGATTCACCACATAGTAGTTTGATCTTTAAATATTTTAATTTTAGTTCAGCTAACAATGGACATAGCTTTATAANATTTTAACGTTGAAAGGTCGTGCTAGGATTTTGGTTTCTCCTATTTTTTTTTTCTGGAAATTTGGTTGAGGGGGGGGGGCTTTGCCGATTTACAACAGTTTTAAACCACAAATGTTTTAACTAGTGGATTAGGGTTTAAAGGTTGAAAATAATTTTAGAAATAAAATAGATAAAAAATACGAGAAAATACTTATGGAAATTTTGACTGAAACCAAAATACTGTGGAATAGGAAGACGACTGTTGTACCCAAGTCATGATTTTGAAAAGTCCAATGAACATAAGCACAATAATACTACACACATTTAACTTGATAAATTTAAAGCTACCAATACAAGTTTTTGCGTTATGACAACATCGGATGCGCGCGCGTATGTTTGCTCATAATACTGTCTTCATATTCTACCGTTTTATGGACCTTACTGTACAACAAATATGATTATTAATTTTATATATTAAGGAATGCCCGCGAAGCAATGGATATGGCTGATAACTGGCTTGGAGTTCCTAAACTCCTGACTCCAGAAGAGATTGTTAATCCTAATGTTGATGATATGAGTATGATGACTTACTTGTCACAGTTCCCTAATGCCAAGGTATTATTATTATTATTATTATTATTATTATTATTATTATTATTATTATTATTATTATTAATTGTTATTGTTATTGTTATTGTTATTGTTATTGTTATTATTGTTATTATTGTTAATATTATTATTAGATGAAAGAGGGAGCCCCTCTGCGTGCTAAGGCAGTGCCAGGTAAGGTTCGGGCCTACGGACCAGGCCTTGAACCTACCGGTGTTGTCGCCAAGGCACCCGCCAACTTTACCGTCGAAACTTTCGGCGCGGGCGATGGAGAACTGTCAATTACCGTTAACGGACCCAACGGTGTTGACTACAAGGTGGACAAGGTGGCGGATAGAAAGAAGAACAGATTATTCGCCTGCTCATACTATCCAGACAAGGAGGGCGAATATGTTGTTACAATCAATTTCCAAGGGCGAGCTGTTCCCAATTCGCCGTGGAAAGTTTTAGTTGAGGGATTCGCCGGTGATGCCAACAAGGTTTCCGCCGCAGGACCTGGATTAGAAGCTGACGGCGTAGTGGCGAATAAGCCGACTTATTTTGATATATTTACCGCCGGTGCCGGTAAAGGAACGGCGGATGTTGTTGTATTGGATCCCGCCGGGCGGAAGGATACTGTTCCCGCCAAAATAACTCCTGGAGAAAATGATACTTTTAGGAATTTAGATATATTGTTCATAATATCTTTAAAAACTCCCCCCTTGCTCGTCTCTTACCGTACAATTCATCATTTTCCTTAGCAGTTTTTACAATTCAAATTTTTTGTTGAATATTGATTTTACAACTGCTAAAATTGCGTAATTCAACCCTATACCGTGAGTCGTAAAATTAAAATTTGAGAAAACAGGAAAAATTTAAGATTTAAAATATTCTTGATTACCGACTTTTGACCCTTTTAACGCTTCTGTCAATGATCAAATAAATATTATGTTTGTTCTTGCTGATTGTATAAAAATTCGGCGTTAAAATTTGCAGTACTGTAAAAGTCAGATGGAATGTACATTGTACAGCATAAAAATATATCATATCTGTACATAGATGTGATTATGTGCCAACCCAGCTTGGTGTACATTCTGTAAATGTATTCTTTGCCGGAAACCCAATCCCCGATTCACCTTTCGGGGTCAGGGTCGGCCCAGCTAGTAACCCCAGCAAGGTAAGCGGTCAACCTCAAAATTTACAAATCAGAAAAATATTTAAACTTAATATTTTGGCTTCCCACTGAAAGTAAAACTATTCAGAAGTAAGGATTAATATTAAATGAAAATGAATTTTGTTCTTGAATGATAATAAACCAAAACTCATGTCCTTCCTTTTTCTTTAAAAAGCGTGACCGCTTGTTCAGGTGACCGCTAGTGGTCGGGGTCTTCAACCTCAAGGTATCCGAGCTTTGGAGACAGTAGATTTTAAGGTAACTTTCTACCTTTCTTAGTTCCTACCTACCTACCTACCTACCTACCTACCTACCTACCTACCTACCTACCTACCTACCTACTTACCTACGTACCTACGTACCTACCTAAATACCTAAATACCTATCTAGGTATACACTGATGGTGCTGGGGATGGAGTAGCTGCTGTGAAGATAATTGGCCCTGGAGGTGTTATAATACCAACAACAAGCAGGTAAAACCTATACATTTTACATACTGCGGTTCTTTCAAAATATTGACTTTGGGGCAGGTCTTCTCAACTGTTTCTGTTTCTAAACGCCTGAACCTAGTATCTAGGAGATGGAAACTTGTATTTGTTAGAGGAGGTCAAGTACCTAATCCGTGAAAAACAGCAAATTTTTATTTTCGTGATCTCTCATGGGCTACGAGCAGACTTTTGTGAATTCTAATTGGTCAGGCCTTTAAAGATATTTTTAAGGAATTAAGTTGACCACAAAAAAAGTAAGGATTAGCGCTTTCTGAAGGAATTAAAGATCCAAAAGGTTCCGACCTTTGTACAGATTTAACTCATTCTTTGTTTTAGGAACATTGATCCGACAACTATTGAATACAAGTATACCCCTGAGAGAGATGGTAAACATGTTGTTATGATTACATGGGCCGGCAAGGAGATTCCAAAGTAAGTCATTTAGAAGTTAGTTATAATTATAAGACATCATGAGTCAGCCATCATTTAGAAGTCAGTTAAAAGTCATTTCTAAGTCGGTTTTTAGTCATTTAAAAATAATTTAGGAGTCATTTATAATTAGCATAATTATTTCTCATTTATTCGTCAGTTATAAGTCATTTCTAAGTCGACCTTTTAAGAAAGTAATTTATAAGTCATTTTGAGGCAAAAATTAGACATTCGTCATATTTCAACCAAGTGCATAAATCCTTTAATTATTTAAAGAAACACATAAAAAATGTTAAAAAAATGCTTTGCACGGTAAAAATGCAAGCGTGTATATGCTTGGGAGAATGAGAAATGATGAATGCATTGTACGAAATGTCTTTACAGTTATTTCCATTTTAATATACTTGCTATTTTTTGTCCATACATAATATGTAGTTAAAAGTTGTATGCCTCTGTTTTGAAATTGTATTTAATCTATAGTTAATGAAAAACACTATCTTGTATTTGAATTTGCAGACATGTTGCTGCTGCAATCTAGATTTTTGATGCGCATTCATTGAATCCGCAACTTCCGTTTAAAAATCCGCAAAAATTAAAATGCTCAAATTTATGCAATCGTTCTATTGCATCAACACTTACCAAACCAATGTTTTATTATTTTTATTAATTGAAATATTTTATTTTCCAGGTCACCCTACAAGGTTAATGTATCTCCTGTTAAAAACAGTAAGATCAAAGCCTTCGGTCCTGGACTTAAAGGTAAACTTATTTTTACACCAATAACAATAATGTTATAAAACTTTATATTATGCTCTTAGAAATATGAGACTGCCATAATATGATTTTAACCTACAATTTTAAATACAAAACAGGAGGGCAGCCAAATAGACATAGAACTCAATTGACGACAATGAAATTCAATGATTTGAAAAATGATCTCAATTTAACCACTTTAGCATGATATGATTAGTTGATATGATTTTAGCATGAAAATTAACTAATTAAGTGAAAAGGGTCTGTGAATACTGCACAATTACAATGTTTTTATTGGACTATTTAAAATCTCAACTTGACTGTAACAGTCGTCTTCCTATTCCAGAGTTTTATGGGGTTTAATTAATATTAAATATTGATATCTTTCAGTTTTAGTATTTTTAAATTGTAGCTTTAATTGGATATATAAAGAAAGAACCGTGAAAGCAGAATGAGTGTCATAAATCAGTAAATTTAAATGTTTATTTGGACCCCAGAGCCGGAAATTTGAAAGAATATCGTTGAACGAAACTGCCGAGTTATCTTTTTGTGGTCTATGCTTCATTTTATCACATTTTATGTGGGAGAAATATATACAAGTATTGGAGTACACAGTTTTCTGTGGTACTTCTCAATTTAAATATTTCCTGATGACTAGGAACTGATAAGTAGGAACAAGTTTGTAAAGGTTTGCTGAACATGGGTGTGTCACCATCATTAACCAATCAATTCCAAACCATTATTACTTTTCAGACCTCCTCAGTAATATCAGGGATTACATTTAACAGATGGGAGGAGGGGGAGGGGGGTCAGAATATAGGAAAACGATCATCTTAAAGGGAAGCATAATTTAAAGTGACCCTCCATGCAAGATGTCCGATTCACAACCGGGCCCTTAAGAGCTTTTATCTGATCAGATCGGAATGTTTATAATTTTGTAAACTGCTTAACAAAAGTAATTTGCGCAATACTGCATCAGGTAAACATATTGGAATTATCAGAAATAAAGGATTTCAAACCTTGAGAAACAACAATATCTTCCACATTATTGATTAGATAAAGGTTTCAAGGGTAACATTGTGATTCAGGCATATCTATGCATGTAAGGCAAAATTTACTTATATACTTATTTAGGTGGAGTTGTGGATATGCCTGCCCTCTTCTCTGTCGATACCTGTGGTGAAACTGGAGCTCTAGGGTTTAGTATTGAAGGACCCTCCCAGGCTAAAATCAACTGTAAGGATAACGGTGATGGCTCTGCTGATGTTGATTATGTCCCAACCATGCCGGGAGAGTATGCTGTACATATCCTGTGTGATAATGAGGATATCCCTGGTAGCCCGTACATGGCACAGATACTTCCTAAAACAGACTACAGCCCAGATAAGGTTAAGTGTTATGGGCCAGGAATAGAAGAGGTTGTTGTTCCTAAACAAGAAACACATTTTACCATAGATACAACTAAGGCAGGAGATGCTCCTCTTGATGTTTCCCTTATGGATGACTATGGAGAAATGAAACCTCTCTGGAAAGATCAGAATGGAATTCATGATCCCAAAGACGGTGGAATTCTAGCCATAAAGATAATTAAGGCCAAAGAGCTGGAGAAAACAGACCTCATTGGGAAGTCAGATCCTTATGTGGTCATTCGTCACGGGGCTCAAAAATACACCACACAGGTCATTAAGAATAGCCAAGAACCAGAATGGAACTATGAGGCTCAAGTAACTATCCCAGACCAAGGGGATATGTACATAGTCCTGGAGGTATTTGACAAGGATAAGATTGGAAAGCCAACAAGTTTGGGGACAATCACCTTTGATGCAAGCAAGGTTGTTGATGACAAGGAGATCCTGGCAGACTGGTATCCCCTTGTTGGAGCTAAGTCAGGACAAGTTTTACTCTCTGCTAATTTTCTGTCAGCCCAACCCTCTATCTATAAAGAACCTGAAGTTTTGCGTAAAACATCACATGCAAACCTTGATGTTAAGCGTGCAATACTGGAGAAGAAATCAGAAGGAATCTATGAATGCACATATACACCAAGAAAAACCAAGAAGTTGGTAGTAAATGTCAACTATGGAGGAGTGGCAGTCCCTGGAAGTCCTTTCCGGGTATCTGTAGATGATCCCACAGATCCTAGTAAAGTAAAGGTTTACGGGCCGGGTGTAGAACCTGGCGTGAAGACAGGAAAACCAACTGCATTCACTGTTGATGCCAAGTCTGCTGGTCCGGGGGATCTAGAAGTAAATATTCTAGATGATAAAAGGATTCCTGTCCCGGTTAATGTTAAGGATAATAAAAATGGAACCCACACTGTAGACTATACCCCTGTCAAACCTCTGATGCATTTTGTGTCTGTAAAATACGACGGCAGAGAGTTGCCACAAAGTCCCATAAAGGTTGATGTCAAGGCAGATATTGATCTTGGCAAGATTAAGGTAAAGGATATGCACCCAGAAGCATTTGTGAACTGCACTAACGACTTCACAGTTGATGCTGGTGCACTTCCGTCCAACTTCTGGAACAAGATTGGATGTGGTATAAACACCCCAGATGGGTCTAACCTTCCAAACGTAGGTATAGGGAAACCAAATGATAGTGGAGAGGTTAAAGTTAGTTACACTCCAACTAATGAAGGAATGCACGATGTTAACCTGGTGTGCGATGGGTCACCAATACCTGGCTCACCTTACAAAGTTAAAGCAGTGGACGGTTGTAACCCTGCTCGTGTTAAGGCCTACGGTCCTGGACTGGAAAAGGGATATTTACATGAAGAAAACGAGTTTACAGTTGAGACAAGAAATGCCGGGACCGGTGGCCTTGGGGTTCAGATTGAGGGTCCGGCAGAGGCAAAGATGACATGTAAAGATAACCGTGATGGAACTTGTACCGTGGAGTATGTTCCAGAGGAAAAAGGAGATTATGATATATTTGTCAAGTTTGACAATCAAAATATACCTCATTCACCATTTAAGGTTAGGAGATTAATGTAATTATGGTATAATGGTGTCAGAAGAACAGACTATTATCTTTCAATCTGATGTTAACAAGCCAAATATATTCTAAAATTTTCAGGCATTGACTTTTCACCTTATGATGTCATTTCACCAGTTAATCAATTAAAAAGTTTCAAGATCTCAGGTTTTCCTCTGATACCTGACACTGTTTTATTACTGCTTTGTCAAAACCTTCGTTTCTTTATTCTTTGTGTTCAATACTAAACTTGATTTAATCATCTTGGATCAGAGATTATTTTCATCCTTTTTATCCAGGTTCCAGTTGTGCCCAGAGATGGATCTGGATATGGTTCTAAACCAGGACATGGAGCCAAACCAGGGCAAGGAGTTAACCCTAGTGGTGTCCCAGATGGAAAGCTTATACTTACACTCGTTAAGGTACAAATCAAATCCCTTGAAATTTTGTGTTCTGTGAAAAAATTATACAAGTTCTAAACTAATTTAGGGCTCAAAAGCTAAGGAAACCTTTTACTTGTCGAATTGTTCTTGAAAATAAATTTCTGTTTTGTATGTTTAAACTAAACTAATCTTGTTCAAAGGTAGATTTACTTATGAAAAAATAAGTAAATGTTTGCTAAAATCATTTATACTAATATGGTTTTCTTCCAGGGGAAAGAGTTGATAAAAAGTGACTTAATCGGTAAATCTGACCCCTACGCCCAAATCCAATATGGAAACCAGAAGTTTAAAACAAAAACAGTTCCAAACTCACAGGTATACAATTCTTTTACAGGGTGGCCTAGAACTATTTAATTGTGTACCTTTTTAGGCCGTTATCTTAGTAATACAGAATACACAATAATACCTTTTAAAAGTAAAAAATATGGATAATCTCATTTATTTTTGTTTAAACAAGGTTTTTTAATGGTGAATAGACATGTCCCTCTATGCTATCATTTTATCACAGTTCCCCGGTTCTAAAGGACACACAGTCAAAATATCTAACTCTATATTTATTATTTAACCAGAACTGGCTCTAAACGTCACACAGGGACACAAGTATCCTATAGTATAGGACTTAAACTTAGACTCTATACTCAACCAGGACTGGCTCTAAATGCCACACAGGGACACAAACATCCAAAAGTGTAATACTAACTCTCTCAACTTATAACGTATAATTAAATGAGGACCCAAGCTATCTTTCAAGCTATATTCGATTCAATGCTAAATCAACTAGCAAAGATCTCCGCTCGTATGTTTCAACAAGAACCAAAGCTGTCTTCTATGCTTACTTAGGCTTCTGATAACATAATCAAAAGCAGAGTCTCAATCAACTAACTTTATTCAATAGCTTAAGTTACAAAGTTAACAGGAATTGGCGTAATTCAATTCCTACAATGTTATTGATATCACATGATTAAGAGCATTGTATAATAGCGCAGTCAATCTACCTCTGCCCAAATTTTAAAGCATAATTTAAGTATGTCGCATGATTTGAGCTAATCATGTTAAGTATTCGATTGAAACGCAGTTTCAATGAATAATATTATTATGTCTAAATTTAAAACACTGAATCATTTATGACGTACAACTCACTGCAAGTTTACAGAATATTATGTTTACATGCTTTTTGCTACATCAATATGACTATTGTAAAAAAAACATAACAAGAGAACTAATGAAGGATTGTAAACCTGACAAAAACAAAAAGGAAGAATAAAATCACACCAATATAAATAACTGTTAATTTTATTGTCTCTTTTTTAATAATACTTGTATATAACTTTCTTTTTATTTAACACTGCATTGGCAAGAATTCAAAAATGTTAAATAAACCGGATTTTTGGATCTATTTTTCATTTGAATAATATAGCTGGGAACTTTTGTGTCGGATACTCATATTCCAGATCACTTGATCTAGATATTTGAGTATCAATCTCTTCATTTCAATTATTTTTCCGCTTTGCAAAGCTTCATTTAACCACTGACTAGCTGCAATTGTGGGATATCAAAAAAAGATTAAATTAATCTGCAGATTAACAAAAAATTGAAATCAAGCATTAATCTCTGTATGCACTAAGATTTCCCTGCTTATATCGTTACAAAAAATCTAATGTTAACTTTTTAAAATATTTATTATATTATATACAGAAATCCCCATTCCCCATGATAACCAAATTTTGATATAGTTTTTAAATTATTAGACCCCAGTTTGGGATTGTGAAGTAGAACTCCAGGTTCCCGAATCCAACTTCAACACTGTCTCTATTAAAGTGTTTGATGAGGACACATTGGGGAAAGATAAATCTCTAGGTAAGAAACTGAGCCATGAACTCATATCTGTAGGCTAAAGAATATTATAATAATTCCAACAATATTTTGAAAAGAGGATTACAACAGTTCTGTTAATAAACATTGCTAAGCTCTTGTTTTGCACCTTATTATGTGCGAAATGAAATGCGCCCCTTGGGCCCTGCTGGACAGTGTTTTATAATAATTTTCTTAAAACTATACTTTTTTAAAAACAACATATTGTTTAGGGACCCTGGAGGTTGATTTAGGAGAGCTGTACAGAAATAGGGAACTAGCAGTTGGAAAATGGTATCCTTTAGCAGGTACATAATCAAAATAATTAGTATTGGCAATCTATCAGATTACTATATAATTTGTTAAATTTGATGTGGCACTTCATTTTTGTTATTTTCAGGTGTCAAGTCCGGTCAAGTTCTGTTAACAGCTGATTTCGAAGCTGAAGATGGGAATATTGGATTTAATCCTGTTAAAGCTGGGTCAGCTGGTAGAAAAGAATCTGGAAAGCTTGGTTCAGGAGCAGATGATGGCCGAAAAAAAACTGGTCACTCTGATAATGAATTCCCTGTTCTACATGTAGAACTAATTAAGGGAAGGAACCTAATCAAGAGTGATTTTATTGGAAAATCAGATCCTTATGCAGTTTTGAAGTATGGCAATCAGTCAGACAAGACAAAGGTTGTCAGGAATAATCTTAATCCACAGTGGGATCATGCATCAGACTTTGATATGGATCTAGGAGATAATGAAAACCTTATGTAAGTGTTTTTAATTATGGTTGTTCTTATTAACAAGAATGTTTATTGTTTGCCTTTATTCATTTCATTTGATATTTTCAGTGTTGAAGTGTTTGATGCTGATAAGCTTGGTAAAGATAAATCTCTCGGTAAAGTTGAGATAAATCCTAGAGATTTTGACGGAGAAGAAGCAAAATGGTTTCCTCTAAAAGGAGTCAAATCAGGAGAAATATTATTAAATGCAGATATTCTTGCTCCTGGACAATCTCCTTATGGGTTAGGTGCTGATGGACAACAAAGACCTGTCGAAGGTATTTTTAAAAAATGATGTTTTTTAACAGTATATGTGTTAAGTCAATTGATGTCGTTTTCTAACCTTTATTGAATGTCAGTAAAATGATATTTGATATGATTTTAATAATCTACCAGGTTCTGATGATGAAAGAGCAGGCAGCAGAAAATCCTTTGGACTCTCTGATGTCCATGGTGGTATTTCTGGAGGAAGAGGAGGAAAGAAATCAGGAAATCTTGGAGGTGTTGGTGATGATGGTCCTACTCTTCATGTAGAACTCATTAAGGGAAGGAACCTAATCAAGAGTGATCTTATTGGTAAATCAGATCCCTATGCAGTTTTGAAATATGGAGATCAGTCAGACAAGACAAAGGTTGTCAAGAATAATCTGAATCCACAGTGGGATCATGCATCAGACTTTGATATGGATCTAGGAGATAATGAAAACCTAATGTAAGTGTTTTTAATTATGGTTGTTCTCATTGTAAGAATGTTTATTGTTTGTCTTTAATCATTTCATTTGATATTTTCAGTGTTGAAGTGTTTGATGCTGATAAGCTTGGTAAAGATAAATCTCTTGGTAAAGTTGAGATAAATCCTAGAGATTTTGACGGAGAAGAAGCAAAATGGTTTCCGTTGAAAGGAGTCAAATCAGGAGAAATATTATTAAATGCAGATATTCTTGCTCCTGGACAATCTCCTTATGGGTTGGGTGTTGATGGACAACAAAAACCTGTTGGAGGTACGTTTTTAGATATTAAAAAATTTTTCAGACTACATGATATCTTTTTGACAATCCATTTGTATTTTATCTATTATTGATACAAAAGTCTTTAAAATATAATTGAAATTTTTTTTTATATAATAAAAGGAGAAAGTTGTTATTGAATTATAATCTAATTAATCTTATGGGCTCAGATGATGAAAGAGCAGGAAGCCGGAAATCCTCTGGACTCTCTGATGCCCATGGTGGCAAGCCTGGAGGAAGAGGAGGAAAGAAATCAAGAAATCTTGGAGGTGTTGGTGATGATGGTCCTATTCTTCATGTTGAGCTTATAAAAGGAAGAAATCTAATCAAGAGTGATTTGATTGGAAAATCAGATCCCTATGCAGTTTTAAAGTATGGAGATCAGGTAGACAAGACAAAGGTTGTCAAGAATAATCTTAATCCACAGTGGGATCATGCATCAGACTTTGATATGGATCTAAGCGATAATGACAACTTGATGTAAGTATTAAAAACTTAGTTTTTCTCTTAAGATATTAGATAACTATTATAATTTATACATTAAAGCATTTAACTTAAACAAAATGTATTTTAGCATTGAAGTGTTTGACGCTGATAAGCTTGGTAAAGATAAATCTCTTGGCGTTGTTGAGATTAATCCCAGGGATTTTGATGGAGAAGAAGCAAAATGGTTTCCTCTTAAAGGAGTGAAATCAGGAGAAATATTATTAAATGCTGATATTCTTGCTCCTGGACAATCTCCTTATGGGTTAGGTGCTGATGGACAACGAAGACCTGTCGGAGGTATTTAAAAAAAATGATGTATTTTAACAGTATATGTGTTAAATCAATTGATGTCGTATTCTAAACTTTATTAAATGACTTTAATAATCTACCAGGTTCTGATGATGAAAGAGCAGGCAGCAGAAAATCCTCTGGACTCTCTGATGTCCATGGTGGTATTCCTGGAGGAAGAGGAGGAAAGAAATCAGGAAATCTGGGAGGTGTTGGTGATGATGGTCCTACTCTTCATGTAGAGCTCATTAAGGGAAGGAACCTAATCAAGAGTGATCTTATTGGTAAATCAGATCCTTATGCAGTTTTGAAGTATGGAGATCAGTCAGACAAGACAAAGGTTGTCAAGAATAATCTGAATCCACAGTGGGATCATGCATCAGACTTTGACATGGATCTAGGAGATAATGAAAACCTAATGTAAGTGTTTTTACTATGATTGTTTTTTATTGACAAGGTTGTTCATTGTTTACTTTTATTAATTTCATTTTGACCTTTTCAGTGTTGAAGTGTTTGACGCTGATAAGATTGGTAAAGATAAATCTCTTGGCGTAGTCGAGATAAATCCTAGAGATTTTTATGGAGAAGAAGCAAAATGGTTTCCTTTGAAAGGAGTTAAATCAGGAGAAATTTTGTTAAATGCTGATATTCTTGCTCCTGGACAATCTCCTTTTGGGTTGGCTGCTGATGGACAACTAAGACCTGTTGGAGGTATGTTTTAGAGAGTATGAAAGTTTTGACTACATGATATCTTTTTGACAATTTGGATTACATCTATCATTGATATGTATAAAGCCTTCAAAATAAAATTTTGATTCATTTGTATAGTTAAATGACAAAGATTTTATTGATTTTTAATTTGATTAATCTAAAGGCTCAGACGATGAAAAAGCAGAAAGCAGGAAATCTTCTGGACTCTCTGATGTCCATAGTGGTAAGCCTGGAGGAAGAGGAGGGAAGAAATCAGGAAATCTGGGAGGTGTTGGTGATGATGGTCCTTCTCTTCATGTAGAGCTCATTAAAGGAAGAAATTTAATCAAGAGTGATCTTATCGGTAAATCAGATCCTTATGCAGTTTTGAAGTATGGAGATCAGTCAGACAAGACAAAGGTTGTCAAGAATAACCTGAATCCACAGTGGGATCATGAATCAGACTTTGATATGGATCTAGGAGATAATGAAAACTTAATGTACGTATTATAAACTTATATTGTTCTTCAAGACTAGATTTTAATTATTTTAATCTAATGTCTTTAGTGTTGAAGTGTTTGATGCTGATAAGCTTGGTAAAGATAAATCTCTTGGTAAAGTTGAGATAAATCCTAGAGATTTTGATGGAAAAGAAGCAAAATGGTTTCCTTTGAAAGGAGTCAAATCAGGAGAAATATTATTAAATGCAGATATTCTTGCTCCTGGACAATCTCCTTATGGGTTGGGTGCTGATGTGCAACGAAGACCGGTTGAAGGTACATTTTAGAGAGTATTCAAATTTTTAGACTTCATGATATATTTATGACAAACCATTAGTATTACATGTATCAATTATATGCAAAAAGCATTCAAAATAAAATTAGGTTTTATTTGTGTAGGTTAATGACAATGATATTATTAAATTTTAATTTGATTAATCTTAAAGGTTCTGACGATGAACGGGCAGGAAGCCGGAAATCTTCTGGACTCTCCGATGCCCATGGTGGTAAACCTGGAGGAAGAGGAGGAAAGAAATCAGGAAACTTGGGAGGAGTTGATGATGATGGTCCCACTCTTCATGTTGAGCTTATTAAAGCAAAGAACTTAATCAAGAGTGATCTTATTGGTAAATCAGATCCCTATGCAGTTTTAAAATATGGCAATCAGTCAGACAAGACAAAGGTTGTCAAGAATAATCTCAATCCACAGTGGGATCATGCATCAGACTTTGATATGGATCTAAGCGATAATGACAACTTGATGTAAGTAGTATAAAGTTTTCTTAAAGACACCATTTTTAATTATTTGAATTTAATGTTTTTCAGTGTTGAAGTGTTTGATGCTGATAAGCTTGGTAAAGATAAATCTCTTGGTAAAGTTGAGATAAATCCTAGAGATTTTGATGGAGAAGAAGCAAAATGGTTTCCTTTGAAAGGAGTCAAATCAGGAGAAGTCTTATTAAATGCAGATATTCTTGCTCCTGGACAATCTCCTTATGGGTTAGGTACAGATGGGCAAAAAAGACCTGTTGGAGGTATTATTTTCAAATTTGAATATTGTGAAACAATGAACATGTAATATTGCTGAAGTTTTTAAAGGATAATTTGGAAAATCTTCCAGGTGCTGACGATGAAAGAGCAGGAAGCAGGAAACCCTCTGGACTCTCTGATGTTCATGGTGATAAGTCTGGAGGAAGAGAAGGAAAGAAATCAGGAAATCTTGGAGGTGTTGGTGATGATGGTACTACTCTTCATGTTGAGCTTATTAAAGCAAAGAACTTAATCAAAAGTGATCTTATCGGTAAATCAGATCCCTATGCAGTTTTGAAATATGGCAATCAGTCTGATAGGACTAAAGTTGTCAAAAATAACCTAAATCCTGAGTGGAATCATGCATCAGACTTTGATATGGATCTAGGAGATAATGGAGGCTTAATGTAAGTATTATACAAATAAAAATTGAAACCTTTTCTTATAGAACGATTGATGACTATTTATTTTTAAATTTTTACAGTGTTGAAGTGTTTGATGCTGATAAGCTTGGTAAAGATAAATCTCTTGGTAAAGTTGAGATAAATCCTAGAGATTTTGATGGAAAAGAAGCAAAATGGTTTCCTTTGAAAGGAGTCAAATCAGGAGAAATATTATTAAATGCTGATATTCTTGCTTCTGGACAATCTCCTTATGTGTTAGGTGCTGATGGACAAAAAAGACCGGTTGGAGGTATTTAAAATAAAATTATGTCTTTTTTAACATTCTATTTATTAAATTTACCTCAATGATGTAATTTTTAAAATGTTTTGAAAAATTTCAAGGTTCTGATGATGAAAGAGCAGGCAGCAGAAAATCCTCTGGACTCTCTGATGTCCATGGTGGTATTCCTGGAGGAAGAGGAGGAAAGAAATCAGGAAATCTGGGAGGTGTTGGTGATGATGGTCCTACTCTTCATGTAGAGCTCATTAAAGGAAGAAATCTAATTAAGAGTGATCTTATCGGTAAATCAGATCCCTATGCAGTTTTGAAATATGGAGATCAGTCAGACAAGACAAAGGTTGTCAAGAATAACCTGAATCCACAGTGGGATCATGAATCAGACTTTGATATGTATCTAGGAGATAATGAAAACATAATGTAAGTATTTAGTCTTGCTCACCACTTACATTTACTTTACAGGTTTTTAACATAAATTTTTTTAGTGTTGAAGTGTTTGATGCTGATAAGCTTGGTAAAGATAAATCTCTTGGTAAAGTTGAGATAAACCCAAGAGATTTTGATGGAGTAGAAGCAAAATGGTTTCCTTTGAAAGGAGTCAAATCAGGAGAAGTCTTAGTAAATGCTGATATTTTTGCTCCTGGACAATCTGCTCTTGGATTAGGTGCTGATGGAAAGCAAAGACCTATTAGAGGTAAATTATTAGAAATTGAGCTTTACAGATTCAAATTTAATCAAAAGGAGAAATCCATGAACTTTATAGAAGCAATTCAACCAATTATGTTTTACATGGATTTAATACACCAGAGAAATAATTTGATCCAGAGTGGTGCGTAATTCAGTTCCTGATAATATTGTTTGACTTTGCTAGAATCTTGTTAAAGCATTATTCACGCTCCTGCAGATGATAAAAAAGAGGCCTTTGGGTAGAATGATATAAAAATAAGATACACCCTTATAGTTATTGATTACAGTCTCTGTTATAGATAACTTCCATAAGGTGATCTTAAGTATTTTGATGTTAATAGTTAAATTATTAATAATAATATGAATAATTTTAAAGGTGCTGGCGATGAAACATTAGGCAGCAGGAAATCCTCTGGACTCTCTGATGTTCATGGTGGCAAGCCTGGAGGAAGAGGAGGAAAGAAATCAGGAAATCTGGGAGGTGTTGGTGATGATGGTCCCACTCTTCATGTAGAGCTCATTAAAGCAAAGAATTTAATCAAGAGTGATTTAATTGGAAAATCAGATCCCTATGCAGTTTTGAAGTATGGAGATCAGTCAGACAAGACAAAGGTTGTCAAGAATAATCTTAATCCACAGTGGGATCATGCATCAGACTTTGATATGGATCTAGGAGATAATGAAAACATAATGTAAGTATATTTAACCTTGTTTAACACGTGCATTTACCTTGAAAATATTCAATTTCTACTTTTGTTTTTTAGCATTGAAGTGTTTGACGCTGATAAGCTTGGTAAAGATAAATCTCTTGGCGTAGTTGAGATAAATCCTAGAGATTTAGATGGAGAAGAAGCAAAATGGTTTCCTTTGAAAGGAGTCAAATCAGGAGAAATCTTGTTAAATGGTGATATTCTTGCTCCTGGACAATCTCTCTATGGGTTAGGTGCTGATGGACAACTAAGACCTGTTGGAGGTATTCTTTTGATATTGAGTTTAATTGATAACATTGTTATAATCTTGTTAAGGCAGTTAAAGCAAAGGGTTCAACCCTTTTGGGTGGAATGATAAAAAATAAATAAAAGTAGGGCTGGGCGAAGTTCTGTTAATGTAATGGAGTTTTTCAAAAATTAACGGAAGCATCTGTTAACAAACGGCAAAAATAGTTAATTTTTAAACCAATAACGAAACGGATTAGCCATTTTTAAAGAAAAAATAATGATTGAAAACGAAACCAGAACCGATTTTTTTTCAAACAGTGAATTTTGTTTTTTTTCTTCTTTAAATTGCATTAAAAAAGATTTTTATATGTTTGAATGTTTTAAATGTAGCCTTCTGTGTTTACAACTTTAAATGCGGAGAATAGATTAAAGCACCTTCGAATTTTGATTAAAAATCACGAGTCCAGCCGTGTCCAGTCGTGAGAGAATCTGGGTTCTCCTCAGAATAGGATAAATATAGTTGATTTGGATATCTAAATGCTACTCAGTCCATGCAGAAAAAGATAGATATAGCTCAACTGCTACTTTGACAAACCGTTAATTCCATTAATACTACAAAAGACTGTTTATGGCTGCATCGTTAATAATTGCATAACTGTTGAAAAAATTTGTTGGTGCTTTACGCCATTAATACTAAAATAGACTGTTAACGGCGCAACGTTATTAATAAAGATCATTAACTAAAAGTAATTTAAAAAAATGGTAAATGCTGTTAACAAAACTAATGTTCCATTCTTATAAAATTTATGACCACCTGAAATTTTTCTTTTTTAATGGTTGGAACTTACCGGTAACAAAACGGCTAGAAAAAGTTCGAACGTGCCCAGCCCTAAATAAAAGTTTTTGGTTACACTATTATTAATTTATTTATTTATTTAAGATCAAATTATAACTTTAATGGCAAATAAAGATTTATTTGAATAATCTTCAAGGTTCTGACGATGAAAAAACAGGAAGCAGGAAACCCTCTGGACTCTCTGATGTCCATGGTGGTAAGTCTGGAGGAAAAGAAGGAAAGAAATCAGGAAATCTGGGACGAGTCGGTGATGATGGTCCCACTCTTCATGTTGAGCTCATTAAAGCAAAGAACCTTATTAAAAGCGATCTCATTGGGAAATCAGATCCTTATGCAGTTCTGAAATATGGAGATCAGTCAGACCAGACAATGGTTGTCAAGAATAATCTGAATCCACAGTGGGATCACACATCAGATTTTGAACTAGACCAAGATAATGACACCAAGCTTATGTAAGTAGTTAATATATCTACTTCTGACTTAACCACACACCACACTATGATTGTCTAATCCCAATATCTTTGCAACCTGAGCTGAAAACTCTTTGTATGGATACCCTTAATGCTATGTAAATCTTGATACTCACTATAAACTCTCTTTATTTTCTTCTTAATTATCTCTTTTGGATATCCTTGAAGGATATTTATCAGTTATTTCATTTATTGTTAGCAAAATTTCTGATTGGCCGATTGGTTTCTGTAATTTACACTCTGATTTGTTTCATTTTCGACACTTGCTTTAAATTAATCTGCATATTAATATGAAGAGGAGATCAAGCACTAATCTTGATATTCATAATTCTAAAGTTTTCAGCTCTGGAGTTTTAAACCTTTGATATTTTTAATTATAAACTCTGTAAGATCAAAAAGTAAAAGTTTGAAATTTTATACACCATCAGGTTTCAAAGTTATAGATATTATAAAACTTTACTTTGTGTCAAGAACTCAGTTAAACATTTCTTTTACTTTTTTAAAGAAATACTTCTTGAGAATTATATGGCATTTAAGCTCAGTTTTGTTGTGGAATCCAGTACTATTGTGCTCATAAAATGTTTTGCTTTTATAGAGTAAAAACGTTTTTAGTGTTGAGGTGTTTGATGCAGATAAACTGGGTAAAGATAAGTCTCTTGGAAAGGTAACTCTTGACCAAGCAGATTTGGATTCTGTTGAGCCAAGATGGTTTCCCCTACAAGGAGTTAAATCTGGAGAAATATTACTGAGTTCAGATATTCTAGCAGTAGGACAGTCTCCAACAAGACTTACTGGTGATGGATCACCCATTAAAGGTAAATTGTTAAACAAACTTCTTTGTTTAAGTTTAAATCACAAATCTCAATGCCTCATTACATTACAGAAGGAGGGAGCCGAAAATCTTCAGAAATACCAAGAAATCATGGAAGAAAATCTGGAAATTTAGGAGGTGTTGAAGATGATGGACCTATTCTTAGGGTTGATCTTATCAAAGCAAAAAATCTAATCAAGAGTGATCTGATTGGAAAATCTGATCCCTATGCAGTTTTGAAGTATGGAGATCAGTCAGACAAGACAAATATAGTGAAAAACTCTCTGAACCCCCAGTGGGATCATTCTTCTAACTTTGATATGGATCTTGGGGATAACACTGATCTTATGTAAGTTCCTCTAACAAAAAACAAAAACAAAAACTTGAAAATATTTTTTCATGATATTATTGTAGTGTGGAAGTCTTTGATGCAGACAAGATTGGGAAAGATAAAAGCCTTGGTAAGATAGAAGTCAATCCAATAGATTTAGATGGCGAAGAACCCAAATGGTTTCCATTGAAGGTAAACTAGAGAAATATTTAAATTTAAAGTTTTGAAATACTTAATGTATATATTTTAAGGGTGTCAAATCTGGTGAGATTCTTCTAAGTTCTGATATTCTTCCATCTAAAGATTTACCTTCTAGCTATAGTTCTGCTGACCAACACAAGCCTGTTAAAGGTGATTTTTTTCAGATCAGAACAAAAATATTGTGCATACTTAAATTTGACATTGAAATTAACAAGTTATGATTACTCCATATCTAATAGTTTTGAATATCCTGGTAGTAATTTTTATCTTTTGCTCAATATCATAAACGTTTTTATAACTAATATTAAGAGTTTAGATATTCCTAATGCATTAAAATTAGTATGAAAAATTTAATTTTTCTATTATCAAGAGAATAAAGACTACATAATTTCTTCTCCTCAGTATTTTTGTTTTATTTTCATCTTCTTATTCTTTGATCAACCTAAATATTTCTTCCTTGGTTCATGTTCTTTCAAGCTGACAGGTTTATGTTCTTGTACAACTGAACTGATGACTTTCAAAAGATAAGATCAATGAATGCAAACAAAGTATAATTGATCTATTAACCAGGACATTTATCAATCCTTTCTGAACAATCCAAATATGGAAACCTAAAGTTCACTTCCCACTACCTTATTTGTCCTAGTTTTAATTCATTCTTTAGGAATATGATATAAGTTATAAAGTGTGATAAATCATAATTTTAGAGAGAAAAATATTTGTCCTAACATTGTTTTATGAAGTCACAATTGAAAGAAATTTTTAATTACCTGGTTTTCAAATGTATAGAACAGTTGTAAATAATCTTTGTTAAGGTGGTAAAGGGGAAGGACCAGCAGATGCCAGTAAAGTAAAGGTGTCTGGTCCCGGATTGGAGAAGGGTAAAGTGTTCCCTGGTAAACCAACTAACTTCATGGTAGATTCTACAAAGACTGGTCCTGCACCCATCTCAGTAGAGATTAAAGGTAATCTAATACCAGAGGTCCTGAAATCTCACTTTTGAAGTTCCATAAATTTAGAATTTATCTATTCTGAATGTCAAATCGTTAACATTTTAGATCTTGATGGAGATATTATTGGACGGGTACCAAGTATAACTCCTGTTGGAGAAGGGTTACATGATGTGAGCTATGTCCCTCCACCTGTTGGTGAACCATATAAGGCAAGAATGATTTTATTTTATTGCCTCCAAAAATAATTAAGATAAAAACTATGTGATGTCTTTTCAGGTCCAGGTTAAATATGGAGGAGAGGATGTGCCAGGTTCTCCTTTCAAAATGAACAGCAACCCTGACCTAGAGGAGCTAGATCGGGCAGATATATCAAGTAATCCAGCTGCTGCAGGACAAGGTATTTTTTATTTTTAAAAATGATCACTCTTTTCAGAACATTTAAAAAATCTCTCAGTATTATTGTTTAAATCTTAAATATTTCTCAACATATTTGTTCTTTAAATAAATTCACAATATTTTTGTTCAGGAAGCAGAAAAGAAAGCAAGATTGGAGTCTCTGTCAACCCTGATGCATTTAATCTTGGCAAGATCCATGTAACTCTCATTGAAGCTAGGGATCTAGTTAAATCAGATATGATTGGCAAATCTGACCCTTACGCCATTATTTCGCATGGCAATCAAAAGTTCAAAACAAATACAGTCAAAAACAGTCAGAATCCTCACTGGAACTATGATGCAAACTTTAATGTTCCTGACCAGGGAGATGACCGAATTCGAGTGGATATTTTTGACTCTGATAGGATAGGAAAGGACAAACCTCTTGGCTCTGCATACTTTGATATTGATGAAGTTATGTCTAAGGGTATGCTTCCCCCTGGTTGGTATCCACTTAAGGGTGCCAAATCAGGAGAAGTTCTGATGTCAGCTGACTTTGAACCTCTTCGAATGACCAGCCCAGACTCTAGAGTTAGTTCTCCCAAATCACTTCAGGATAATGCTGGTTACCCTGCAGGCAAGATTAAGCCCAAGAATAAAACTAGTGTGACTGGAAGTTCTGGATTAAAGGATGGTATTTTAAGTGTAGAACTTTTGGCTGCTAAAAACCTAGTGAAGTCAGATCTGGTGGGAAAATCAGATCCCTATGGAGTTTTGACTCTTGGAGATCAAACTCTTAAAACAGATGTTGTAAAAAATTCTCGTAACCCTGAATGGAACTTTAGAGGCACGTTCAACATTGGGGATGACACACCTGAGTCTCTTACAATTAAAGTATTGGACCAAGACAAGTTGGGCAAAGACAAACCTATTGGCTTTGTGAGTCTTCCGGTAAAGGACCTTATAAATGAACATTATCCTGATTCAGAAATGTGGATACCCTTAGATGGAGTCAAAACAGGAGAGGTCCTTGTAGCCACAAATTTTACACCATTTGATGATGATATGTTAGATGGTAGAATGATGGGTGATGAAAGAATGTCAGGACATGGCAAAGGAAGGCAAAGTATTGCTGATCAAGGCGAGGATGATAAGCTGAAGGGACTTAAAGGGACAAAAGCAAAACTGAGTTCTGGCAGTTTGTTAGGTGATGAAGATGGAAGGCCAGGAAGTAGGAAGGGATCATCAGCATTGAGAGGAAAAAATAGTTCCGGAAATTTGCTTGGAGATCACTTTGAGTTGCCACCAGGCAACATCAAGCTGACCCTTAGCAAGGCTAAAAACCTCATGAAATCTGATCTGATTGGCAAGTCAGACCCTTATGCTGTTATATCTTGTGGAGATAATACTTCTAAAACAAAGACAGTGAAGAATGATATAAACCCTGTTTGGGATCATGAGGTAGTCTTTTCTGTGAATGAAGCCAATTCTGATGATGTAAAAATCAAGGTCTTTGATGCTGACAAATTTGGCAATGATAAATCTCTAGGCACAGTCAATATTGATCTTGCTGATTTAGCAAAGAATGGGCCAATGTTTGATTTATGGTTACCTCTAAAGAATGCAAAGTCTGGGGAGGTTCAGGTCTGTGCAGAATTTGAACCTGATTTTGATTCTATGGATTCGGATGGAAGGGTGAAGAAGCATTCGGGTGTGAGATCTAGTTTAAATGATCCTGCTCATGGAAAAAAATCCAGTGTAGGTTCACATGGAATCCATGACAAGGGGCCTGGAGAAAACTATGATGAAAATGATCTGGTTCCAGGGGTTCTCCAACTTGATATAATTCAAGCCAAGGATTTGGTAAAATCTGACCTTATTGGGAAATCTGATCCTTATGCTGTCATCAGCTTTGATGGAGACAAGCTGAAAACCCATACTGTAAAGAATAGCCAAAATCCTGAATGGGATTTTACAGCTAAAATTCCTATTGATGAATTGGGTCCAAGTAAAATCAAAATTGATATTCTTGATGCTGATAAATTAGGTAAAGATAAACATTTGGGCTCAGCTGATATCAATGTTAAAGATGTAATAAATGGAAACCCCTTGAACAAAGATTGGATTCCATTAGATGGAGTAAAATCAGGAAAAGTTCAGGTTTCCACAAACTTTACACCTGAAGGGGACCTTGGTAAGAAGGATAGAAAACCAAGTAGAGGAGGGGCTAAAGAAACAAGAGATAGAATGAAAGGAAAGTCAGGCAGAGGTGATGGTAGTGATGATGAAGGTGACTATGCTAGTAGTCCAAACTCACGAAAACAGAGTGGTGCTCTGTCTGGCAATAGAAAGGGAAGCAGGCTTGCATCTCCGGATCAGGGAGGTATTAGTGGACTCAGTGAAGATGATGTTCCCTCTGGTAATCTTCATTTTAAAATCACAGAAGCCAAGGATTTGGTGAAAGCTGACATTATAGGAAAATCAGATCCGTATGCTGTTCTCACTTTTGGAGACAATAAACTGAAAACCAACCCAGTAAAGAACAATCAGAATCCTGTTTGGGAGTTTGAAGGAGACTTTCCTGTTGATAAGGACAGTCCAAGAGTTATAAAGCTTGAAGTTTTTGACTGTGACAAGATTGGCAAAGATAAATCTTTGGGAAGTACTAATCTGGATGTGCTTGATATCATTGAAAACACTCCAATTGATAACACATGGGTTCCTCTTGATGGTGTTAAATCAGGAAAGGTCAAGCTATCTGCTGCATTCTCTCCTGAAGATGAAAATGGTTCTGGTTCGAAACGCCCCTCAGTGGTTAGTTTTTCAGCAAACAAAAATGGAGATTCAAAAAGTGGACCCAAAAAATACATGGATGAAACTGATGCGGCCAGACTAGGAAGTAGAAAATCAAGTGGACTTCCTGGAGCAAGTGATGGATTCCCAGGACCAGGAAATGTTCATGTGAAAGTACAGCAGGCTAAAGATTTAGTCAAGTCAGATATGCTTGGGAAAAGTGATCCTTATGCAACAGTTACACATGATGGAAACATGGTTAAATCTAAAGTGGTAAAGAACAGTCAAAATCCAGAATGGAACTTTGATGTTGATATTCCAGTAGATGTTGACAGTCCTGCTGATTTAAAGATTGAGATTTTGGACAGTGATAGGTTTGGAAAGGACAAATCATTGGGGGCAGCAATATTGAATCTCCCTGATGTGGCAAACAGAGAACCTCTGCAAGATATTTGGATTCCTTTGAGAGGAGCCAAATCAGGGCATGTGCAAGTCTCTGCAGATTATACTCCTGAAGATCCTAACTCATTAAATTATCAAGCAACAAAAAGAGGAGGAGGAGCTATGGGAGCTAAAAACAGACTTGGAAACAATGAAGAACCTCTAAGTGATGATGATGTGGGCAAAAGTAGAAAATCAAGTGGTCCAGATAGTAGGAAACCAAGTGGATTTGATAGTAGAAAGCAAAGTGGGTATGATAGTCCTATGCCAAGTGGACTAGGAGACCAAAGGCGACCTGGAGACTATGATGAAATTCCTTCTGGTAATATTCATCTTGAAATAGTTCAAGCCAAGGATCTTGTAAAGAAAGACCTGATTGGTAAATCAGATCCATATGCAATTGTTCGCTATGGAAATGATGAAATTAAGAGTAATACTGTAAAAAACAATCAAAACCCTCAATGGAATTTTGAGTGTGATATACCTGTTGACTCTAATGGTCCTCAAAACCTGACTATTGATCTTTATGATGAAGATTCTCATGGAAAGGATAAACCTTTAGGGTCTGCTGAAATAGATATTCCAAACCTTGTGAACAACAGTCCTCTGGATAACATGTGGATTCCTTTGAATGGAGTAAAATCTGGAAAAATCCAGATAAATGCTGACTTTAATCCAGATGATAAGTTTGGTCAATCCCAGCCATATGGATTTGATGGTAAGCGTCCAATGGAGAAAAAACCAAGCCAATTAAGATTTAGTTCTCCTGACAGAAAAAGTTCTGGATCTCACAGGAAACCAAGTGGCACTGATTCAGATGTCATACCGGGCAATTTACATTTAAACATTATTCAAGCAAAGGACTTAGTTAAAGGTGACATGTTAGGGAAATCTGACCCCTATGCAGTTGTAACTTATGGAAACGATAAGGTAAAAACAAACACCATCAAAAACAGTCAGAATCCAGAATGGAATTTCCAAGCCGATATTCCACTCCTCCCTAATGGCCCTGATGTTCTCAATATTGAGATTTTTGACAGTGACAAATTTGGAAAAGATAAATCTTTAGGAGCAACAAATATTGACATTCCCAGTTTGCAGCATAGCCAGTCATTGGCTGATGTTTGGGTTCCATTGGACAATGTCAAATCAGGACAAATCCAGCTCTCTGCTGACTTTTCACCCGATAACAATTACAACTCTTCTCATTATGGCTCATCACCAAGATCAGGTTTTGACCCTGGATCTAGAAAAGACTCAAGAGATTATGACAGCTCATCATCAAGGAAAGGATCCTATGGAGATTATTCAAGCCAATCCTCCAGGAAAGGATCTTATGATCAGAGACAATCTCATGGAGGTGCAAAGAATGTTAAAGACATTCTCACTGGAAGAAAACCTAGTTCTACTGACAGTGGCTCACTTGGAGATCCAAGATACGGAAAAGAACCTGAAGATAAACTTGGTACAATCAAACTAGACCTTTTATGTGCAAAGGACCTAATGAAGACAGATATAATAGGCAAGTCTGACCCATATGCTGTTATTCAATATGGAGAAAATGAGTACAGGACCCCAGTTACATACAACACTCAAGATCCCAATTTCAATGTTCAATATGACTTAGATATTCCCAATAACCCTAAAGATAGAAACATTATCATTACTTTGTATGATTCAGACAAGTTTGGCAAAGATGTCTGCATAGGTAATATGAATATTGACATTGGCAAAGTAATGAATATTGGAAAAATGGATGAAGATTGGTATCCTCTCCATGGAACAAAATCTGGTGAACTAAGAGTTGGAGCAAATTTCATTCCTGATGGTCATGAAGTTATCAATATTCACCAAAGATACACTGAAGATCGAAGAACATCAACACAATTTCATGAAATAAATTTGAACTGCATACCTCTTCCATCTGCTGGGGGTCAAATTGATGCTACAATTAGGCGACCATCAGGCGCTGTGGACAAACCTAATATTGATGACAACAACAATGGAACTATATCTATTAAATACCAGCCTTCAGAAGATGGGTTACATTACCTAGATGTTAAGTACAATGGAGATCAGGTTCAGGGAAGTCCTTTCAAGTTCCATGTTTCCAGACCTGCCAGTGGACAAGCTTTTGCCCATGGTTCTGGATTAACCCATGGTGTTTGTGGAGAACCTGCCAAATTTGATATCAGTACCAAGGGTGCTGGGGCTGGAGGCCTTTCTCTTGCTGTGGAGGGACCATCTAAGGCTGAAATAAACTGTCTAGATAACAAGGATGGAACTGTGAGTGTCAGCTATCTTCCTACAGCACCTGGGGAATACAAAATAATTGCAAAGTTTGCTGACAAACACATTCCTGGAAGTCCCTTCACATGTAAAGTGACCGGGGATAACAAGAAAAAAAATCAGATCTCAGTTGGTTCCAGTTCAGAGCTTCAACTCCCTGGAGATCTTTCAGAGTCTGATATCAGATCTCTTAAAGCTTTCATTGAAAGCCCATCTGGCGGCCTAGAACAGTGTTTCTTGAAGAAGCTTCCAAAAGGAAACATTGGAATATCCTTTACTCCAAGGGAAGTTGGAGAGCATCAAGTTTCTGTGCAAAAAAATGGAAAGCACATTACAAACTCTCCATTCAAGATAGTTGTCAATGCACAAGAAGTTGGGGATGCAAGTAGAGTTAGAGTATCAGGGGATGGGTTGCAGAAGGGTATGACTCATGTTAACAATATGTTTCAAATCAATACAAAATCTGCTGGATATGGTGGTCTATCTCTATCAATAGAAGGACCTTCTAAAGCAGAGATTGAATGCAATGATAATGAGGATGGTACCCTTGATGTTGAATACAAGCCAACAGAGCCTGGTTTCTACAATATAAATATTAAGTTTGCAGATTCTCATATACCTGGATCCCCATATCAAGTTCCTATAACTGGAGAGGGATTGGAGAAGAAAAAGGAGAATATGACCCGCATTAGGGAAGCTGTTCCGGTCACAGAGGTTGGAAGCCAGAGTAGATTAACCTTCAAGATGCCAGGTATACTTTTAAAAGATTTAGAGGCTGTTGTTGCCTCACCCTCAGGAAAGGTTACCAATGCCAACATCACCGAGCTTGAAGAGGGAGTTTTTGCTGTGAATTTTGTGCCATATGAGTTAGGAGTCCATACTGTGACTGTAAGATACAGAGAGATGGACATTCCTGGTTCTCCTTTCCAGTTTACTGTTGGACCACTTACAGACTCAGGAGCTCACAGGGTCCATGCAGGTTAACTTTTGCTTCATTTGTTTTAGATCATAATTTAATCTTATCACTTAACTTTTTGAAGCTCTTCTTACATATTTATTTTAAAATTTCCTGCAGGTGGTCCTGGTTTGGAGAGAGGGATAGAGGGTGCCCCAGCAGAGTTTAATGTATGGACCAGAGAGGCTGGTCCAGGATCTCTGGCAATCAGTGTAGAGGGTCCATCAAAAGCCCAGATAGATTTCAAGGATAGAAAGGATGGTTCCTGCTATGTTTCCTACATTGTTGAGGTAAAATATTAGTAAAATGAAAATGAAGTTAGGGTTCAAAATCTTATAAACGCTTTAATAACTTTCTGTCTAGGAACCAGGAGAGTATAGTGTTGGAATTAGGTTTAATGATCAACATATCCCTAGATCTCCTTACAGAGTCTTTATTATCCCTAGATCTGATCATGCAGACAAGGTGGGTTGATATCCTTGGTTTAATCCAGTCTATTCAGAGTAGGAAGCATATTGTTAGAAACAACTCTATCCTTGTAAACCATTCAGAAGGCAGTTTTATATTTTTTAGCATAAATTTGAACTGTTTTATATTTAATACTGTAAAAACAGACTAACCAACATAAATAATATATTAAATGTATTTATGAGCGAAGAATTTAATGTATAGTTGGGTTATAAAAAAAATATGTTTTATATTAATACTTATCTAAAAAAATCAATACTTTTTTGAGAGGCATCAATTATTTTTCATAGCCGGACATTACAATTTGATTTTATCTTATGACAATGCAACAGAAGTTTAAATTTGTTGTTATTTTTTCAAATTGCCAAATTTTTTCTTTAATAATTATAAAATTTAAAGGTGCGTGTCTCTAACTTCGACCAGGAGAAGGTTTCGTTGAACTCTCCGCAATCTTTCTTGCTCTCTAAGAACGGAGCAGCTGGAAACCTACAGTGCAAGATGGTTTCACCTTCAGGTAGAGCAGGAAACAGAAAACTGTGGAATAGGAAGAGGACTGTGAGACTACAGTACATTGAAATAAAACATAGTAATTGCGTTGTGCATAGAGGTCTAAGGCCCATCTCACATAAAAGTTAATTTTTTAATTAACGTTAAACCCATTTGTTTTTAAAGTCATTAATTAAACATACAGGGTTACTCACAAATTATGAGACTTTAGAGACTACTGTACGGAATATACACTGTCTGTTTAGAGATGACTGTACGGAATATACACTGTCTGTTTAGAGATGACTGTACGGAATATACACTGTCTGTTTCCTTATCTTTATGATTCCATGCAACTTCTTTCTTCCTTTGCCAAATCATAAAATAAGCCATGAAACTACCATATTCAACTCAAAAGACTTAATAAAATTGTATGATTGGCATATTTTATATGTTTCAGGTCGTTTTTTCAGCCTCATCTTTTATGGGTGACCCTGTAATATTTCTTAAATGTCTCTTTCATATTCCGCAGTTATATGGGTCTCACTTCGCTAATTTTGTTAAATTTATCAAAATAAAAATTCGGAAAAGGTTTTAACATATCCGTCAATTTGAAGATACTTCCAAGTCGCCATATTTATGGAAACACCTGTGCATGAAAAAGCTAATATAAAAATTGTATAACAAATGTCTTGTAAAATGCTGTCCAATATAATAGAACTTTTCAAGGACGAGAGGACGACTGCTATATATCCCAAGTAGGACAAGACGAGTACTCAGTTAGATTCGTCCCAAGGGAGGAGGGAACTCACTATCTGCACGCTAAACTAGGTTAGTTTAAGTTTGTCCAAACAAGGGGTTTTATGAATGCTTCAAAGTTAGGATTCTAGTGAACAAATTCTTAATCTAGAATTTTCTATATTTTATTGTTTATTTAAGGACTTATTTTGTTATTATGCATGAATTATTGTTGTTTTAAATTGTATTTTAAATGAAGTCGATGACAGAATACGTCTATTATTGCAATTTGTTTATGAATTACAATATTATAACACAAATTACTGTTAATGAAACCTGATAAAGATTAACATAGTTTTTATTTTTACTTTATAAGATACTTTTCTTTTCACACGATTTTGAATGTAAATTTTACAATTATTTAAGTTAGATTTAATCTTTATGAAATTGTTTTACTTTAACATTAAAAATGTCAAAACGAAAAATGAAAAGATTGGCTTAACTTTAAATGTTAAAGAAAACCCATTTATATTTTCCGTGTGTACCTTTATATTCACTTTTATGAAACTATTGTGTCTACTTTATCATTCATGTTCATGGTTATGCTCAATTTTATTCAACAGGGGCTTTAATTAATTCAGTAATTATCAAGCTATACTCCTCAATTAGGTTTATATATATTATGAATATTATTATTAGGTTTATTTATATTATAATCTAAATAATCTAATTTGTCCAAGAACTGCTCACTGCGAAGCTACATAGTTTTGAATAACATTTACGGTTTATTTTAACCTATTTTATTTTCACAGATGGAGTGCACATTCCAGGCAGTCCCTTCAAGATTAAGGTTGGTGGAGATAGACCGTCTGGAGGACGAGTTCAAGTACTTGGACGAGGACTAGAGCAGGTCAAGGTCGGAGAGAGGTCGTCTTTCGTGATCGATACAAGCGAGGTCGGAGCAGGGACCCTGTCCGTTACAGTTGATGGACCTAGTAAGGTTGATATGGACTGTGTAGAGGTCGATAAAGGTAATATTATTATTTTATTATTATTATTATTATTATTATTATTATTATTATTATTATTATTATTATTATTATTATTATTATTATTAAATTTATTTAATTTATTTAATTTATTTAATTTATTTAATTTTGCGTGATATCGATTTGGGAATCAAGAACCGCAGGAACGGAACTTTTTGTTGATATTGCTAATCTTGAAGTTTTGAACTTGATATATAATGTGGGCACTTTTATTTAGAAATCCATCAATTAAAGTACCATCACCACGGGATATATGTAGATTATTCTATAGGTCTGAATAAGATAGAGATCAAGGCTTAATCCCAAGATTACAAAACAAAATGTTTAAAAATCCTAGTTAACAATATCAGGGTGTAAAATATAGGGATTAGAAAACTAGTGTCTGTCTCAAGTAAACAGTTGTGTTGGATACTCATCACTCATGATCCTGATTTCTTGATCTCGATATCCATCCACTGTAGGCACTTTTAGTTTGAGTGAGTTTCTATAGAAAGCCATACCTGTCCTCCATATCTTCATTTTAGTTAATCCTCTCCTGACCAAAGCTCCCTTTAAACTCTGACTGGGTAGGATTACCATGCGGGATATCGAATAAAGATTAGAATAATCTGCAGATTAACAAAAGATTAAGATCAAGCACTGAAAACGATGTCCACATCACAAAAGTTCCTTTTTGAGTTTCTTTATAAAATAGTAATACTAACATTGACCCGGTGTTTGTTCAGGTGCATTCTACCGGAGGTACTCTAGTCTCCAGTACAGGAGGAGGTGGTGTACCGGGTACAGAGTACATTAAACAGAGGAGGGAGAGTACAAGTATGACGATGGAAACTATCCAGCACACACTCTTCAAACAAGAAACTGTTTATAAAGAGTCAAACTCAGAGTCAAGGTAAATTGAAGGGACTAGTCAGTGTTTATGGGAAACGTTGACCTTTTAGATCTTTATAATCTTCTGTTAATATTTGACAATGGAATTCATCCGCTAGATTATAGTTTGGAAAATCAAACAAACTTACTTCAGTATGCTATAGTTAAACATTTTTTAAAAATAGTTTTTGAAATTCTTTGTCGTAATTAAAACGCCTGTAGCAAATTCATGCGACACTTCTAGTACAACTTTGTAACTTTGTAGCTCCTGTAGCTTTGATTTTACGCTTAAGCATAGGAAAAGCAAATATAGTCGGTTACATTATACATATAAAAACCGACTAAAACATGTTTCTTCTTCTCAACAGCGTCTTAATCAAAAGAGTTATAATTGAAAACGTTTAAGATTTACAATTTACTTTAGCTGAACTTGGAAGCTTAAAGAATTTGGTATACTGGTTTTAAAATGATTCAGTTATAAGTGATTTCCTACACTTAAATGTTAGTTCTTATTTAGTTTTATTTTGATAAAAAAGTATTATTCTGTCCAGGAATAACAGTCGAAATATCCCAATCCAGTTCTCCGGCGAGGCTTCAGCTTGTGTTGCCCATGGCGAGGGACTAGATCGACCCCGGGTTGGTCGACAGAACAGTTTCCTAGTCGACTGTAGTGCAGGGGGAAGTAATGTTCTGTTTGTCGGAGTGTATGGCCCTGATACACCCTGTGAAGAGGTTCATGTCAGGTAATACAGATACATTATATTTCCTTAAAAAATCTTTCCCCCCTTTTTTTGAAAATCATTTCCCGTCAAAAGTTAGGTATGGTTGCACAATGCCCCTGGCAAAATAAAATTTTTATGTTTTTTTGCGAACATGGGAAAATAAATAATTGTAAGGGGAAAATATATGAAATTTTGGGCACAAATTATCAATACGAAAGGAAAAACATGCCTAACCCCTTTAATGTATTCTTAATAATTGAAATAAAAATTAATTCCAATATTCCACCTCAAAAAAAACATATATGTACAATATAATCATTTGTTAAAGGGACTGTAAGTGTTATTTCAAGCGATCCTCTATACAAATATGTCAGAGTCCAGTGTCTGATACACAACAATACCCTTGAAACCTTTAACAGATTATTAATATGAAAGATATCGTGGTACTTCTATGTTTGTGCATTTAGCTGTATTCAAGCTTTCTGCAGAGTAAAAAACGAACTGCTTATATTTGCAAACAAAGAGTCAATTTTAATTAAAAATAATTATTTTAAACTATTTTACAGGGAAGTTAAGGGAACCCGTGGTGAAGTAAAATATTTTGTTTATAAAATATTTTATTTATGAAAAAGTAATTGTACACAACTTTATTGTCTTTTGAGATGAAAATGCGCGAATTTTTTTCTGAAAACTTCGTGGAGCGGGTGATATTATTTTACATAATAGTCCCAAGGGTGCTAGGTAACCTAACCTCCCTCTGTTGGGGGAATCATAGGTCGGTAATGTTGGTCAAAAGGCGGCAACATTTTAAAATTGGTTTCTGATTAATACTTTATCAGGCAAGCTTTTAAAGGTATCGATCTAAATTTAACATTTCCATCTTTGCATGGAGGTTCACTAGAAATAACGTTTACAGTCCCTTTAATATCAATTTAAATCACCAAGAGCTCTCTTTTTATTTTTTATAATTTTCAAGGATTTTACGGAATTAACGCCTTATGAAGGACCAAAGGTGAAAATGAAGTAAAATGCGCACAGTACAGCGGATACTTCATGCTTTCAGCTTTTAAATTTTTTGATAATACAAAGTATATATACTTCATTTTGACAGTACTTAGAAAAAATGCTTCACATGCATACTTCTAATGTTCTTAATTTAAAATGGTGAAATGCAAATAACAATATCTTTTTACCTCCAAAAAAAAGTAAATGCATACTTCTATATCATTGTCAATTTTGCTATCACGTCTTCCAGTATTTAGGATCCAGATCCGTAACATTTTGGCTTCCTGGATCCGGATCCACACAAATTTGCGGATCCACGAATCCGGATCCAAGGGGCAAAATATCTGTTAGCCATCAAGTTTCAGCAAAAAATTAAGCGAAAAAAAGAAAGAAACAATAAGGGAAATTTTAATTTGTTATAAAATGATTAAATCTGGAAGGAATGTTAATAACCTGGATCCGATCAAACGAAATGGGTTCTAAGCACTGGCGTCTTCAAATAGTAACTTATCTAAATTTATTAGATAACATTTTTTTTTATGTAAGCATTATTTTTAGAAATATCCAGACTAATATTTTAAACTATACTTAGACATGAAGGCAACAAGGAGTACAGGGTGACCTATTCTCTCCGTGAAGAAGGACAATATCTTCTCTTTGTGAAATGGGGAGAAGAACATATCCCTGGTTCACCTTTCCATATCAGTGTTTAGTAATCCAACCTTTCCATATCAGTGTTAACTTAACTGGAGAAATTCAACCTTTCCATATCAGTTTTTAAACTAAACCAGAGTAATCCAACCTTTCCATATCAGTGTTTAAACAAAACTGGAGAAATCCAACCTTTCCATATCAGTGTTTAAACTTAATTAGAGAGATTCAACCTTTCCATATCAGTTTTTAAAACTAAACCAGAGTAATCCAACCTTTCCATATCAGTGTTTAAACTAAATTTGAGAAATTCAACCTTTCTATATCATAACCTTTGAATTAAACTTAAGAAATCCAATTGAAACCCTGCAGGTCTAAAAACCTAAAAATAAAACCCTGAAAGTTTATAAATGAACCCCTGCTCATGTTCAACTATTGTCCATGACAAAGTAACCTTTGCTATTTATACAAAATGCAGAGGAATATATTTTTTTAAACTAACACAAAAAGGTCTGTTTTTAATTTTATGAATGCTAATTCGGAAAGATTTTAAAGTAGTGCATGGCAGAAAATATGTAAAGATTTATTTTTATTATTTTGTTTTTGAATGTTTTGTTAAATAACATTAAGCTGAATGAGAAGGTGCATTGTATCCTTGTGATTAAAACAAAGACGACATTTTCTTCCCTCCATTTCTGTTCTGCTGTTAACCGTAGTACTCGGCTCCTGATTGGCTGTTGGTCCGGCAGTCAGCTGATGCATGGTATTTCAGTGCTGCCTGTCTAAAATCCCGTTTAAGTTTTGATCTGGACTTGTTCTTTGTAAATGCTTGGATCAAATCCAGATCAGGGTCCTAAAACCGGTTTAAAACCGGTCTGAAAACTGAATCGGGCTTTATGACTTGAAGCTCAGTTTATGTCGAATAGTAATGCAGGGCAGGAAACCAGTAGTTGTTTTCTCCTATGTGATTTATTTTTCTATTTTTTGCTTTTTGCTTGTTAATTCTTGTTAAATGTTGTATTTATCGATTTACACCGCTTTTAATAAATATTTTTAAATTATTTTCACAGTGGTAGATACTGCTAAATGGCAAAAAAGGAATTTAGTCTGTGTCACAAACTTCTACTCAATACAAACCAGTGGCGTAGACATTTGATATTTCAAACTAAAAATTCTGTTAGATCAAATAATCTAAGTTTGAAATATCAAAGGTTAACACCAACACCATCTGGTTGCAAAGATAAAGATATCGTAAAAATAAAACATTTTTCAAAATCAATTTATTCTGTGACAAAAATTTTATTGTTTTTCAATCATTGAAGCCTAAAAGTAAAATTTAGAAGATTTAAAGTTACAAAAAAGAGGCCTGGGCAAATAATTTATAATCGTATATAGATTTCACAGTTCTTTTTAATATCTCTGAAATTTTATTAAAGGGTTAGATATGAATTTTTATTTATAGTCAAAATTTTAAAAATGCACTATTTTCTGAATCATCCTTTGTGAAATTTATTTCTCAAACTAATATTTTTGTTAAACAGAGTGATTCCTCAAATGTTTGAAAATGTATCCATTTTTTTATCAATCAATTTATTGCCAGAAAAAGGAAAGGGGATTTCCGAGAAATTTTTAAATTCCATTGATGGGGAAGAAATCCTGGAAAAAAGTTCTTAGCAGGTGGAAGCACAGCTTTGAACAGTGAAGTTTCCTGTTGAAAAGCAGTAAAGGTTGGAATTAAGTTCGTAAAGACAACCATCAGTGCACACAGAATACGCTTTCTCTATCTAAACATTAAACGTCTTTTTTATACTATTGTAGTGAGTAATTGACTACATTTTATCCATATCTGAACGAACACAAAATTTTTCCTTGAAGGAACTTAAGTTGGTTTGGCTTCCTAATGTGTCATGAAATCGACTGACTACTTGATTTAATTGGTTGATTTTTTAGTTCTAGTTATTATGTTTATACAATGTTACATTAATGTTATTCCTTACATAACAAAAAAAACGTCAAATAAGCTAAAGTTACGTAAAATAACTGATGATAAGAGATACTACCAATTAAGCTTGTAACTTCCTACAAAATCATATGATACGAATTCTGTTGTTCAGATAAACTACCTTGAGCTTGTAGCTTCCAACCAAAGGTCCATCACTAACTTTTTTGTATGCTGGGCAGGCAGCCTCAGCGGGAGGAACAGCTGTAGTTGAACAAGCAGAGACCTCTATGCTTTCTCCAGCAACGAAGCAGTAGCGGTTTGAATTAAATGTGTAAACACAACCATCTCTGCACAAAGGAGATCTACTTGCCTAATTATGAAATCTTTGTAAAATTTTAAGTTCTTATCAGATTAATGCTGGGTTTAATTGGTATATTTCTTTTTATTATAAAAATAGAAGTTTTCATATTAGTAAAAAGCTTGAATTTGTCTTTCAAACAAAGTTCCAGTTAACATAAACTAAAAAGAAGCTGTCCAAAAATGTTCCAAAATTTCAGGTTTACATAGGAGAGGGCTGGTTGGCCAGGCACAACAATTATTTTAAAAAAATTTGATAATGTTAGGATAATATTGGTATTGTAAATCTATATGAAAACATTGTTGATAAAATCAAGTTTCATCATCTTAAATTTTTTTCCTTTTTTACAAAATTTCTCTTGAAAACTGCAACATATTATTTGCAATTTAAAAACTTGATCAACCTGTAGTTTGTATTCTCCTTTGCTTGGACCCTCCAGTATAGTTCTACACTCCTGGCAGAGGATTGACGGTAATGCTGTCATATTAACTCTAAAGGGAGTGTTCCCTGTTTCAATCCTTGAAACCTGAGCCGCTGTAGATGTTATTAAACATAAGAGAAAAATAACCTGAAAGAAAGTAAATTTTAAAAAATGTCGATTTTGTGATCTGTTGTTCTGTTCAATAAATTTTTGTATTAATGGGACTGTATGCATAATTTTAAGTGATCCTCCATTTAAAGATTAGCATGTCAGACTTACAAGGATACCCTCTAAACCATAATTGTCGGATAAACAATAAGGAAGCAAATCAGGAAAAGTATTAAATTCTGACACATTCTTTCTCTTCCATTGCATAAACTTGCCAGGCACTTTATAGAGAACCACAATTTCCATCATATTTGCTCAGATAAAGGGTTAGATGGTACTCTTGTGGATCTGGCATTCCCCACTTTTAATGGTGGGTCTCTTTCTTGGTCCTCCTTGCATCCAAAAACCACTCTGTATGTGCAACCTTGCAAGTTGGAACAGACTTATATCCATAAAAAAAAGTTTGTTCCAGTTTTGGAAAATGTAAAAAAAAGTATGTCAAATATAGAAAACTTCAGAGAGCAACAAGAAACTTTATTGTTTTGTTAAAAACAATATTTTAAAATTAATTTCTAATGAATTTAACCTGAAGAGCTCTTGCTAGTTTGTAACCTTCATGGAACCACATTCTGCACAGTCAATACCAATAAATAATGAAATATATAAATATATGGAAATCAAGAGAACGCATTCATTCACTTGTCATAAATGATCATGATTACTAGATTGGGTAGATTTTGGAACCAAGCTTAGGGCCCTAGTGATATATATACATACGCCAGAACTTGCTTTTCTAAGAAAAAAATAATCGAAAATTTAAAAATGGCGAGCTAAAATTAAAAGAAAATAATAGATAAAAAATCACCGGAGGACAGAAAAAAAAAAAATTCTTCAAAAAAATGTATCTCCAGCCGCTGATCACTGCATTTTTATCTTTTTGGTTTAGGACCGGCCATAAAACGAATTTTTATGGGACTCTGCCAAAACCATTTCATTTCAAAAACCAGTTTTTGTCTCTAAATAGTTAAATAATTATGAATCCCTGCGAAATGAACTTTTCTGAATTTTGTATAAAAAAACTGATCTTGTAATACCCCTATTGATAAATTTTAATAAATTTTTTTACGGTCTTTCTAGTGAGTTTGTTTTTTCTTAAAATAGCTCTCAGCTCGATATTTTTAAAATTTTTAATACATTTTGTGTGAGAAGTTCTTATAATATTTAGGCGCATGCATCCCGCACAAATCAAAAGCTTTAAGAGAGAAAAAGTGAAAAATCGACTAACCCTAATGATCACCCGTCACTTTTGAAAAAAATGCTCTTAGCAAACCAGTTCTACGGTTTATCTCGGAAATCCAGCTCATTTCCATTTTGTGCTTTACTTTTTCTTAAGTTGACGGAAATGTTTGAATTGCTGAAACAAATAGTAATAACAAAGCTAGGTTAAAAGTTAAGACTCTGAAATACTGTAGATTTAATTTTTAATAACCATTTAATTGAAGAGCACCATTAGTCATTCAAGGTAGTACCCGTAACAGCTTTTCTCTGGTAAAGATTTCGTAGTTTTTCTGTTTTCGAGCCATTTTCTTGCTCGTCGTGGTGTTAAAATCCAGGAAATGCCAATTTTGGATCATTGCCTGGAAGATGTTTGAAAGTGTATCTTTCTACTTTAAAATGGATGGACGTTCATAAAAACGTTTTTCATGTTTATTGGTTCTCCCTGAAATAAGAACAGTTAGTGTGGATCCTCAAATCAGTACTGGAGAACAGTTGATGGATGGATCTTGTATCCTGGATTCAGATGTTAATATCTGTTCTGCCGGCTTTGCTAATCACGATATACATGATAATTTATGGTAATTTTGATAAATGTTAATCATGAAATTGATCATTACAGTAGCTTAGAAAAACTATGTTGTTAAGCAAAACAGGAACCGAACTTCATAAATTCGAACAATAGGTCGCTCAACTAACAGTTCAAATCTTTAATCATTGATTCAAAGTTAAAGCTTCATGAGGATCTGAACTGGCTGGAGGTAGTTCAGCAAACTTTCCAATTATTTAGATTTGGTCCCAGAAAATTTATTTTAGTGAAATAAACGAAAGATGGTGTGTTTGAACATAACTCAAAAAGTAGTGGTCCGACTTTTCTATCCTACACATGCCCCTTACTTCAGGCCAACAGCAGTGCTTTTATACCTACAGTTCCAGGTTGTATTGGATGAAGGAGTTGTCAGGAATACGGTTTAAAGTGCAGGTTGAGTACCCCAAATATATGACCTTTTAACTGCCCCAAGAACTTAAATGAAAAAGATTGTAAACAGTAGTAAAACTTTGAGCTAGGCTGTAAATTCATGGGAGCGAGGAACATTGATCCAGAATTCTATGAAAAATTAGATTGGGTCAATTTTAAAGTGTCACAACCCTTTGATCTTTGATTTATCTCACTAAATCACTTATGTTTTTTGTTGTTTTAGATATGTACATTGCAAAAATATAAGGCACTTTTTTGGGTAACCGTTTTACAATTCAGGCATAAAACTCTAAGGATCATTTGAGATTTTGACTTAAATTCTTTTTGGGATAAATTGATTAGTTGTTAATTTCCATGTCATCACTCCAATTCCTCCAATTTCAACATAAAATATTTTGTTTATATAGATATACTAGTACAACTTTGTGACCTAGAACCTCATAATTCGGACCCATAATTAAGTGAGAAACACAATATAGCCAAAATGTCGTCAGGGTTAAGGCACTAGGTCCTATATTTCTTTACTTTTAAAAATCTCAATCTTTTTAAAATTTTTATTTAAATTAATGACTGTGGTGTTTTAACTTTTTTTTCTGAATATTGTTTTTCTTAAACGCAAAATAAGCTTGGGTAATGGATATGCTAATAGTTATTTAAAGAATAATGATTATAATAATTATTTATAAATTTCATGATTAAAAAATCTTTCCAACATTTGTTCTAGTTCTATAAAACGCAATTTCTAAACATGGTAGCGTCAATTATATCAATAATTAAACATTAAAGTACGCAGACTGTCGGCTTTATCTCAAGAAACTTTAATTTTAGAGATATAACCGCCAGATTCGCATCTTCACTTTTTATTAATAATGAGGGTAAAACAAATTCTGTTTATTTCCTTCCTTGTGTCCGCTTCATCAATTAGAAAAAAAAACACATTGAAATTTTTAGATATTTTTGAATAAAATAGAGGTTACCTAAATTATGTTGACAGCCCATTAAATGCTAAATGGATAGTCATGTTTATAAAGGGACTGGTAGCATAATTTAAACAGATCCTCCATTCTTAGATTGCAATGCCCGATTCACAACGGTACCCTTGAAACCTTTACAGGAGTAATAATAATATGGAAGATAACCTCGTTTTTCTGACTCGGAAAGTATTTAGTTCTGTGAATTTCTGCAGTCTTCCATATAAGCAAGAAATGTAAAAGTCACTTTTGTAAAGAAACCACAGAAAAATTTTAAATAAACAAAAAACATCGATATCTAATTCAATTTGTTCAGTCAAAGCTTTTTAGGTTACTGCTGTAAATCAGACATTGCCTTTTTTCATGGAGGGTCTCTTAAAGATTACCCTTACGGTTAGAGCTGGGCATGTTTCAACTTTTCCAGCCGTTTCGTTAACGGTTAGTTTCAACCGTTGAAATAATGCCAGATATAGTCGTTAGTTTTAATGGTTAGAACGGAACGTTCGTTTCTTTAATGGTTTTTTTAATGTTTCTGTTAGTTATCGATCTCCATTTTCTGAACGGCGATAAACTGAAGATATTCTGCAGTTAACATTTTTATTTTTCCAATTATCTACATTAGTCGTTTAGAAATTTGTTTGCAAGTTTTATGCAATTTAAGCAGAAAAAAAGAACGAAATATTCAGTTTTTAGAAAAACATTCATAATTTTATTTCGTTTTCAACCGTTAATTTTTTTCTTCAAAAACGGCTAATCTGTTTCGTTGTTTTTTCCATTTGCTAATTTTTGATAACCTCAGTTTCGTTCACGAAACTTTGCCCAGCCCTATTTTTTCTCTCAGAGATTATGTGAGAGATATTTTTATTTTTTATATTTTCTGACAAAAATAATTAATTTGTAAAAATTAGTATTTTGTGCATTACAAAAACGTTGTTATTTATTTAGCACTTTAAACAAAAGTTCTTCTTTTTTAAGTATTAAAATCCTAAAATTTTTCTAGAAAATATTTTTTGCGCATAAGTCATTCATTTTAGGTCTTTAAGTCGATAAAAGAAGAAATAGAACATGAATAAATATACTTGTTTTGATCCAGCATTTATTGTTCCTCTGAAACTGCTGAATTGCAACATTTAATGCTTTGTTTGTTACAACTCTTCATGGAACAACAATTTATTTAGTTGACATTGCTAGCCATTGTTACATCAATACAGTGATGGGAGTCACATAGGATGGTCAATAAATTTGTAATTGTTAATAGACACTTTTGACATTTTTGTACTTTTATTTTGAGTTATAAAAATTAATCAGCCATTTCTTTGATTGGCTTTGCTTTAAATCTATAAACTTAAAAAGCGCGACTCAGATGATGAAAATACTTAAAGAAAAACTTATGACAAACGGACATTATACTATAACTGCCAAGTCCAGTGCAAACACATTGTATTTAAACAAAAGGTACTTCAAGAAATTGTTACATAAAAACTCTTCAACCATTTTATCAAATGAATCAATCTATTAACCATCTAATGTCATTTGTGGGGTTTACAGAAAATCCAGTCAAAGTTGGATACCCAAGCTAATTAATACACAAGAAATACTTATAGGATTATTCGAAATGTTGCTGAAGCAAGTTTTAATCCTGGGGGTGGTTCTGTGTTGTGCGAATGCTATTTCAAGGTAAACAAAGACAAACATTTGGAATATCGGTTTTTCTTATCAGGTTTTGAAAATAAGGCAAGTTAGTCATTTTCCTATTTTTTTTATTTTGTCGAGGACTGTAAGTATAGTTACCCTTCATTGCCATTGAAACCTTAATTTGATCAATAATGTGGAAGATAAGGTTGTTTTATTTACTGTTTTTGAAGCAAGAAATGCGCAAATTACTTTTGGGTCACTTGAATTACGCTCACAGTCCCTTTAACTTAACTTAACAGAACGGTCGCTAAAATAATCAGTAGTTTTAAATAAAATAGGTTCTTAGGAAATGTATATATCGTCAATTTTTACCAAAAAATCTTAGTTTTGGTCCTGATCTTGTTAAACATAAAAATTAACGAAATTGTCCGCTAGTTATTTTCATATCAACAGTTTTTTCCTTTGCTGTCCTAAATTTTTTATTCGAAAAGGACCTGAAGAAATTTTATCATTTTCAAATTTAATTTTATACTTTTTAATTTCTAAAAGTCCTTTAAGACAATTAAAGGTTTTTATTCTAGGTTCCTAAATTAAAGCTAAATAAAGATGTTTCTTTATTTCATCTGAACTCAGGGTTTCCACTTAAATGAAACTTAAAAATCTTTTTCAACAGTGGTTTACACCGGTACCCTATATACCTATATACCTATATACCTATATACCTATGTCTGTGCCTTATGCCCGCATTTAATTTTCAGTGGGCAAAAGTAGAACATTTCCGACATCAATGATCATATTAAGGTTGATAGGGTACCGTTGTGAATCAGCCACTCTATAAATAATGAAGGTAACTTGAAATTACTGCTAAAGTCACTTTCACTAATTTTAGATGTAGTTTTGGTGGATGGGCCTGCAGAGGATTCTGTAGTTATGACGGACTTGTAACAGGTTTTCATTGAAAAATTTCAAGGGGACTTTATGACGACCTATACACATGAATCTAACTAAGACTAGAGATGGGAGCCTTTGGTTTTTTTCATTTAGTTCGTTCATCGTTTGTGAACACGCATTTTTTTAAATCGTTAAAAAAATTGATTCGTTGTTCGTTTTTTCTTCTCAATAACACCGTCGTTTACAAAAATTTCTTTTTTACAAAAATGAAGCGCATCACTTAATAAAAACTAAAACAGGTTTAAAGGAATAAACATTGCCAATTTTTGATATTTCCATTAAAAAAAACAACATTATAAACAGGGTTTTCCAACATTATAAACAGGGTTTTCCAACATTATAAACAGGGTTTTCCAACATTATAAACAGGGTTTTCCAACATTATATCTGTTCCTGACAGGTAGTAAAAAGGTCCGATTCACAACGGTACCCTTTAAACCTTTGCCTACTGAGGAATGAATGAGATATCCTTGTTATGATCCCTGAAATTTGATTTTTAGGAAGTGAGGTTTCTCTCTAAAATTAAAAGTGGATTTTTTACTATAGATACAATGAAGGAAAATGTCAGAATTAAACACTTTTCAAGCTGGAAAAACGATGATATTTTTTCACATCACAGATCGAAAAAGGTTTAAAAATTACATAGCATTGTGTTAAATCATGAATTCCCTTTGATTAAATGGATGGTTACTTGAAATTACAATGAAAATCTTTTTAAGCCTTAGGGGTTTTGAAATGAATGAAAATAAGAAGTCGTCTTCCAAATCAATCTGTTTAACTGTATATTCTACAAGGTATTTATTGTAAAATAAGCACTTTATTCTAAAATTATCCCTAATATTGATAATTTTGTCGGACACAAAACTGAGTTGACACTTGTGACGTAAGAATACAGAGCTATACTGAGAGTGTACAAATTCTACGTTGCCATTTATTGTACTAGAATCTATTTGGTATATTCTATAGGTATGTGCACTCCAGACTATACTTGTCATTGTGCAACAGAATATCTGAATATTACAAGACTCCAGGTTATGTTTTCAAATACAATTATACAAATTTAGATTTAGTTTAAATACTTTTCAACCCACAGCTTCTTTTTCTGTAAATTTACTGATATAGATAAATCCGTTTTTTAATAAAATTAAGTTGTTCCCACTCTTGGTTATAAGATAGATATAACACAGACAGTTTGTTTACATTTTGAAAAACAAGAAGAAATCTTTTAATTAAAAAAACCTTAAATGTTTAGAATCAAACTACATAGTGATACACATGGAATTTCAACTTGCCAGAAAATAACTTTCTGTGAATATTGTTCCAAGTCTTTATTCTTCTCGTGAACATTTGACATTTTTGTTTTACAATTCATTAATTTAATATTCTATTTATATTTCTGTATTGTAGGAACAAGTTCCAAGAGCCTGTGAGGTTGGCATAACTCAGTGTAATGTAAGTTAAAGAAATTCAGTAAATCTTGTCTGAGATCTGGATTGCATAATTAAAAAAATTTAATTTATAGCCTTACAAAAAGTAATAATTAGTTACGATCGTTTTTTTAAACAAATGTTTTGATGAAGTTTGTCATATCGTTAACGGTCGTTAATGATGACGCTTCGTTAACAATTGTTTACAACCGTTAAGTTTTGAGATCTTCATTCTTAAGTTATTAATGTTGAAATGTATCAAACACATTTATCAAACATGTAAGTAACATGTTTTACTTCGTTTAAAGGGAGTGTTCGCGAAAAATGAAAGGGGGTATAGGCTTAATGCGATAATTCGAAAACAAGTTGTAAGCTAAATATTATTTTAAAAAATAAAATAAAATCATATTATGAAATATAAAATATATACAAATGTGGCGAAAGATAATCGATGACCATAGGTTGTAATATCTGAATGATTTCTTTGATATTAATTTGATTTTTTTACGGTCTAAGTCGTATGTTCCAACTTCCTCAATTTGTTTTAGCGCTACGCTCTTCGGTATGTGACGTCTTTATCAATTTTCTCCTTATAGACGCAAAAGCTAGAAGTAAGATTAGTAGCGATCAAAAGCGCTTTTTTATCGCATTAAGCCTATACCCCCTTTCATTTTTCGCGAACACTCCCTTTAAAGAGAATGAATTTAAGAAATTATGCTTTTCTTTCAGTTTTCATAAAGGAAACAAAAAAGCAAAAGTTATATTTTGTCAAATTTTAGATAAATTTTTTGAAACTGACAATTGTGTAAGTGAAAGTATATGGGTAGTTAAAACTTAAAGCAAAATGGTCGACTGTGAAAATCACCTTATCTAATAAACCTAGAGTAATAAGTTGAATATTTTTTTAAAAACTATCATTTTAAAAAAAATAATTGTATAAAAAACGTTTTAAAAACTATCGTTTTCGAAAACAATCTTTATTGGTTTTCTAAACGTTCAAAAACGTTGTTTTAGAAAACGATCCTTTTTTTCTAAAACGAAACAATTGTTTTGAAGAAAACCGATAAACGAAAATTTTTTCGATCGTTTTTGGAACGATTAACAACCCTACCTGCAACCTGTGGATCAGTAAAGACCATGGTATTTGTGGTGGAGATGCCTGACAGATTACAGATTATTAAACAATAGATTTCTTGATTTCAGACTGCCTGCAAGCAGATTGGTAAAGACCATGGTATTTGTCGTGGAGATACCTGATAGATTACAGATTATTAAACAATAGATTTCTTGATTTCAGACTGCCTGCAAGCAGATTGGTAAAGACCATGGTATTTGTCGTGGAGATACCTGATAGATTACAGATTATTAAACAATAGATTTCTTGATTTCAGACTGCCTGCAAGCAGATTGGTAAAGACCATGGTGTTTGCGGCGGGAACGGATGCACCTGCTCTGACGAATGGTTGTCTGACGCTGCTTTCAGACTATGTGAAGATGAAGACAAATGTGAAGATTACTGCTATGTAAGTAATGTGTTAAACAGGGGGATATAAACATCACATTGAAGAGACAATATAAAAATCATATTTGAATAGTGCATTATGGAGGTATGATAAAAACTTTACACTGCAGTTAAACTTAAAAAGTTGTAACTGTCCTGGTTGTAAAATATCTCCACATTGCCCGAAGTACTTTATGTTACCATCATTTTAAGTTACCTTACCCAATTCAAGATGATAGCTTCAAACCTATATCCTATCAATAATTTTGAAGTTATGCCCGTTCATTTCAAATTTAAAAAGTATTTAATTCTGACAATTTTACCATTGTTTCTGATGCACAATGTTCGAGTTACTTTGTAAAGAAACCACAATTAAACATTTTAATTTTCAAATTAGGCAAAATATTTTAAACAGTAACTCTCTATAAAAAGAGATTACTTGAAACTGTTTGTACGGTCCCTTGGAAACAAAACATATATGCATTTCCTAAATTTTGTAGGAGTGTATTTTGATTTTTGATTTTCTTTCTTAAGAAGTAACTTTATTTCATTTTTATCAAATAAGTAATAAATAAATAAATTTATTGGAATTTGTATGACAATTTAGATTTTTTATTACGAAAAAAGCTTTACAGATTTCTGCACCTAATAATCTAGTGAAACTTTGCAGTCAAAGAGATTTTTGCTATTAAATTCATAACAAAGTTGAAAAAGAATTTGCTCTAAAAATAAGTCCATTGTATAATAAATCTAGTTTGTAGCTAGATTAACAAAGGTACATAAAGATTTTAATTACAGTTTAAAATTCCTTTTTTCTGCCTCTATAGGTATGGTATGGTATGGGCCATTTTAGATTTTTTGTAACATCTACACATTCTGCATGGTCTTCCCCAAATGAGCACAATAGGTGCATGGTCCGAACCAGTACAAGAATTTGCCAATCTAATGTGATCGAACTACATTCACATTTACTCGTACAAGCCTGTCCAGTAAACCCAGCGGTTTTTTTGCAACAAATGTAGGCTAGCAGAATCTATGTTAACTCAATGTTTTTACTTTTACTTTTACGTTTATCCTCTGTATATGTTTATACGACACATTAAGATGACAATATAAAAAAAATTAACATTTTACAAACTTATTTCAGGGGCTCAACGAACAAGTAGGCAACTGTGAAGGATGGAATTGTGTTTGTCATAAATAAAAACTATTTTGTTGTAAATATTTAGAAAGCTATTATTGTCTATATTCGATATCCCATTATTATAATTTGCAATTGTAAGGTTTAATAAATTATTATTGTAGCATATGTTCAATTGAGAATTATTTTTTACAAACTATTATTTGGAACTATTAGGAAGACACACAAGTTATAAATAAAAAAATGAATAAAATAAAATAAATAAAATTTCCGATGATAGAAGGATCATTTCTTAATCCCTCAATTAAAGGTATCCCTGCAAGATATGACCACAATTGGATATTGAAGAGGAATTTAATTGATCCTTGTGTTTGCATAAAATGAAAATCAATGCTCGATCTGGGTAATCAAAAACTTTTTTATATTGGACAGTAAAATTTATAGAAAATACATTAAGCAACTGAAAACTTGCTTGGTTTTTTCATCCTCCCTGGTGTGTAAACCTTTGACATTTTGAAATTTTTTAAGATGAATTTTTTAACATACCTCTTTTAGTTTTAGAAGCTTTAAATGTAGTTTAATCTGAAAATTAAAATTGGAAATCTGTCGGAAGCAGACCTGATATTGATTTTTGAATTTTAAGAGGACTGTTCACTTTTTAGAGAAATACTTTAGGCTTTAATAATAAACCTTTACTTATGAATTACATATTAAATTATTACAAAGAATTAATCTCAAATTTTTGGCCAGTAAGCAACACATTGAAAAATGTTTAAACAGCTTTAGAGTGTTTAAAATTAAAAAATCTCTATGATAATTGAAATTCGATGCCAAGATATAATCTTTGAATAATCCCTTTATTAGAAAATAAACGGAAATATATTATATTGAAGAAAATTTCAAATTTTCTTTCATCTTTTACAAGTCTGATTTTTATGCATTTATAAAATACTTGAAAATAAATGAAAGAAAAAATATTTGTTAAATAAAAGATTGTTTGTTGATTTTGTTCAGAACTATTTTAAACCAATAAGAATTGTACTAAAAAGATTTAAAACAATTCAACAATTTTACTGGAAACTTTTCAAATAAAATATTAAAAATAAGTAGAAATCATTGTCTCAGAAAAATTATAATCTTAAATTTATAAAATTTTTTAAAGTTAGGTTATTTGTAAAATATAGATATCAATTATATAAGTAGACCTGTGAAGGTGGGGGGGTGTAGCGGTAGCACCCCCCCCCCCCTACGACTCAGAGTTGTTTGTGAACACGCATTTTTTTAAATCGTTAAAAAAATTGATTCGTTGTTCGTTTTTTCTTCTCAATAACACCGTCGTTTACAAAAATTTCTTTTTTACAAAAATGAAGCGCATCACTTAATAAAAACTAAAACAGGTTTAAAGGAATAAACATTGCCAATTTTTGATATTTCCATTAAAAAAAACAACATTATAAACAGGGTTTTCCAACATTATAAACAGGGTTTTCCAACATTATAAACAGGGTTTTCCAACATTATATCTGTTCCTGACAGGTAGTAAAAAGGTCCGATTCACAACGGTACCCTTTAAACCTTTGCCTACTGAGGAATGAATGAGATATCCTTGTTATGATCCCTGAAATTTGATTTTTAGGAAGTGAGGTTTCTCTCTAAAATTAAAAGTGGATTTTTTACTATAGATACAATGAAGGAAAATGTCAGAATTAAACACTTTTCAAGCTGGAAAAACGATGATATTTTTTCACATCACAGATCGAAAAAGGTTTAAAAATTACATAGCATTGTGTTAAATCATGAATTCCCTTTGATTAAATGGATGGTTACTTGAAATTACAATGAAAATCTTTTTAAGCCTTAGGGGTTTTGAAATGAATGAAAATAAGAAGTCGTCTTCCAAATCAATCTGTTTAACTGTATATTCTACAAGGTATTTATTGTAAAATAAGCACTTTATTCTAAAATTATCCCTAATATTGATAATTTTGTCGGACACAAAACTGAGTTGACACTTGTGACGTAAGAATACAGAGCTATACTGAGAGTGTACAAATTCTACGTTGCCATTTATTGTACTAGAATCTATTTGGTATATTCTATAGGTATGTGCACTCCAGACTATACTTGTCATTGTGCAACAGAATATCTGAATATTACAAGACTCCAGGTTATGTTTTCAAATACAATTATACAAATTTAGATTTAGTTTAAATACTTTTCAACCCACAGCTTCTTTTTCTGTAAATTTACTGATATAGATAAATCCGTTTTTTAATAAAATTAAGTTGTTCCCACTCTTGGTTATAAGATAGATATAACACAGACAGTTTGTTTACATTTTGAAAAACAAGAAGAAATCTTTTAATTAAAAAAACCTTAAATGTTTAGAATCAAACTACATAGTGATACACATGGAATTTCAACTTGCCAGAAAATAACTTTCTGTGAATATTGTTCCAAGTCTTTATTCTTCTCGTGAACATTTGACATTTTTGTTTTACAATTCATTAATTTAATATTCTATTTATATTTCTGTATTGTAGGAACAAGTTCCAAGAGCCTGTGAGGTTGGCATAACTCAGTGTAATGTAAGTTAAAGAAATTCAGTAAATCTTGTCTGAGATCTGGATTGCATAATTAAAAAAATTTAATTTATAGCCTTACAAAAAGTAATAATTAGTTACGATCGTTTTTTTAAACAAATGTTTTGATGAAGTTTGTCATATCGTTAACGGTCGTTAATGATGACGCTTCGTTAACAATTGTTTACAACCGTTAAGTTTTGAGATCTTCATTCTTAAGTTATTAATGTTGAAATGTATCAAACACATTTATCAAACATGTAAGTAACATGTTTTACTTCGTTTAAAGGGAGTGTTCGCGAAAAATGAAAGGGGGTATAGGCTTAATGCGATA